CTCGCCCCTTCTTAAAAACCCTTCTCCACCTGGCTCCTCCTACCACTTCGATCAGCTAGTTACTGACCCAGCCTCCTGACCGCAGGTGAATTTTATGTAATCAAACACATTTTTGCATCATTAAACAAACGTTCCAGAGCATCAACAAAAGTAACACACCTTTAAATAATATTCTACAACAAAATTAAAGGATTAAAACTATAAAATGATTAACACTAAATAACAGAGGTATGTATGCCCTAAAATCAGATTTGACCTAGTTTTGGAAGTCTTAGAAGTCCTCTCTAAAGAAATTATATTCAGCTTAAACAGATTATTGAATCTGTGCTGGGAAAAGGAACAATTTCAAGGCCTTCTGACAGGAAGGAATTTGGTGAACATGAGGAACTGATCAAGGACAGAAGTTTTAGCCTGGGATCCTAACAGCAGAACATGCAGCTACTACTCCATGAAATACTCATTTCCTATGGAGTGTAAGCCTATGCAGGCAATATTAGGAAGAAAGAGACAGGAAAGATATAGACCCAAAACAAGGTCATGACTGAGTTGGCCACCATTAAGGAATATAATTTCCCTCAGGAATTATGACATGTAAGGGAACGGAAAAGAAGGCAGGGTGGGAGATAGTGTTGAAGGACTTCATCTACAGTGTCCCTTCCTGCAGCAGGTAAATGGATACCCCATTAGGTATTAACTTCTTAATGCTTCTGGGCTGAGCATCATGGTCCTCAGGCAACCTCACTGCATCTTATGCCATCATACTGAGGAAAGGTTCCTGGCAAGATAAAGCCTAAGTACTGTGTACCTCAGTCATGGCACAGTTCTTACACAGGCTTTTGTAGGAACTGACACAACATTGATGGAGGCCCAGAGATTCAAAAGCAGGAAAGAAGTGGGAGTGATAGAAATAATTCTCAAAACTACCATGAGGAGACAAAAGATGGAAAGGGGAGAACCTAAGAATTACATACAGACTTGGAAGTTAATGGACAATTTCTGCTTTTTTAAATACCAGAATAGCTACCCATTCAACAGTTTTCCCATGTTCATAGTAAAGAAACATCGTGAGCATATTTGCACCTTTATAATCACTTTCTGAGCTGGAGAGATGCTTCAGTGGCTAAGAGCACTTTCTGTTCTTCTGGAAGACTTAAGTGTAGTCCCCAGCACCCTTGACAGTGGCTCAAAAATGACTTTAACTACAGCTCCAAGGGACCAGGCACCCTTGTATGACCTCTGTGGACACCTGCATACATGTAACATACACTCACACAGGCACACATATAGATAAAAAATAAAACTGTCTTTAAACAAAGATCTGCTTCTGTGGATGGTGGAGAGCCAATTATAAGGGGGAACTGGAGCAGACAATAAATACATAAATTAGCAAAGAGCAGTCCAGCTCAGGTGCCCAAAGCATGGGGGAAGATCAGGGAGAAAACAGCAACAGAGCCTGGCAATGCATGTGTTGAAGAACAGCTTTCTGTGCACAATGAAGTCAGTGTTTTCAGCTTGAGTGAATGAACACCATTTTCAGGTTTGGAAGAAGGAAGTGAAGCCTTCATTTTTGTGTGCGATATTTGTTTCATATGGAGAAAGTCACATGTAAAAATGTCATATTTCAAAAGGGCACTTAACTAAAAGTAAGTTGAAATCATCTGTCTGCAGACAATAGAATGAAAAAAATCTTTGCTTGAATGTACAAAATAAATCTTGACTCCCATATGCTTGGATACCATATTCTTTCAGCAGTTAACAATGTACAAAATACATCAATTTCATTATTTTGTATTAGCATTTCCAAAATATTTTTGATAAAATTTCCTACAGAATCAATACTCTCTCTGTGTATGTGTGTATACAATAGTTTAGTATGGCAAACTTTAAATTTTACATTCTGTTACACACAGGCCAGCCAATAAACATTATACTCCTCCCCCAAATAGAAGCTATGTATTTATTTTCAACACAGTATATTATGTAGTATTCAAATGTTTCTTTCAGGAAACATTTTTAGGCTTTCTCAGCTTATGTATGTCTTGTAAGGAGGACATGATTGTAGTACCAAATGCTCGGCAACACAGCACACTAAGTGTCCTTAGGAAATAGTACTTATCTTACCTAAATCTGACTTTGCCATAAGGGCTCTCCAAAAGTGTGACAACCAAGAATCCAACAATGTATGGTTTAAAAATCTGGGTGGTATTTTACAGCAAAGCAAAGAAGAACAGCAAAGGGAGGAAGAGTCCCCATTGTAGACTTTTTTTCTAATAGGACAACACAAATGCTAACTTAAAATATTCAAGACAACGCTTATGGATGCCACTCCTGGGAAGAGCTTCAAGACTTTTTTTCATTTCCTAAGAAGTATCAGTGGAACCTGGTGTTCCCAATTCTCTTGCTGATTTTTCTGAATGCCCACTACTTTTTAGGTTATCCACATTCACTTATTTGGCACAGTAAAATATTATTTTCCCCCTCTCAAGTCTTCACAAAATATTTTAAAACCAAGTCAATTGTCACCATGTTCAGCAGATCCACATTAAAGTTCCATGCACCTTCCTTAAGCATTTCTAAGAGAATGTAATGGAGTAAGGAAAAAACAAAACAAAACAAAACAAACAAACAAACAAAAAAACAGATCAGTGTAACAACTACAGGCTTTGGATTCAAAAGGCTCTATGTTTAATTTCTTGGCCTAATGACTCTGTAACACTATCTGACCAACTTCTTTGTTCTCTAGTATACAAACCAAAAAAAAAAAATGAGATTTTCAGGTAAAATGTGATAAGATATCTAAGGTGTTTAGCAAAATATTTTAAATTTCAAAATATACAGTAAATTGGGCATCCCATATTTAAAAGAACATGTCATAATTAACTTTTAGACATTTTGAATATATAGGATATTATATGTTGTTAAAAGGACATAGTGCTACATTTTTTTTTCCTGAAAAATAAGATAGCTGAAAATATATACATGTTAAATTTGCATTCATTGTAACTGTGAACTTGATTGGTATATTTTCTAGGCTTGATGACATCAAGAAGTCTGTCTGTAAACACAGTGATACAAATAAAATGTTTTACTTATATTCCTTCAAACTTAACAATTTTTTTTGCTTCATTTATAGTTTCAGAATCAGCAGGAACCAAGATTAAACTCGAAGTGTAAATGTTGCCTTTAATTGGATAGAAAGAGACACAGGCATCTTTAGGATACATGAAGTCAAACTTTTATTTGAAAGCTGAATTCCATGTGTAATGAAAATAGTTTTGAACCATACATATCCATAAGCATAATACAAACACCATCTACAACACAAACACATTTGAATAAAGATCTACTGTGAACATTAATCTAAGTAAGAACGGAAAAGCTAACTGGGTGAGCCTGCTCTCTGTACCTTTTTGTCTCTTGATGATGGAGTCAGTTGAAGACACCAAACAAGAGTAGCGTTGGCTCAGCCCTACTTATCTCACTATAGGAATACTAGGATACATCTACTACCACAGACCACAAACCAGTCCTATCACAACCAATTTAAAGTTGTTACAAGAATTACGCCTTCATGGCATGTAAACATATTTAGGGTTTCAATTGGCAAATATGTTTTAAACACTTAGAAAAGCAGCCGACACCTCTCCTTATTGTCCTCTATCTCTTCCATGAGTATAAAATAGCGTTAAGTCCATTGTGCTCTACAGTTTTTTTTTATAAACATGGGTACATCTAAAATATCAGATGCCTTTATACCAAGAGAATAAATCTACTGATTTTACATCTTATAAATATGCATGCAGAATTAGTGGAAAATGCTTTTGTATAGCAAAGACCCTGCTTAATTTTCTTCCGATTAATAATTTTCAATGGCATGTGCAAATCGTCCTCCTCACTTAACAGTAGATTTAGTTTATTTTCTGTAGATCTGTTTTCTATAAAAATATATTTATGTGCTTAGAGGGGGGAAAAGTTGAGTTGGTGTATGTGGGGGTGACTTTTTGATACATAATTTGATTCCATGTTGGGTTATGAAGTTAAAAGGCATCTTAGATTGTATCACTTGTAAAGTTTCTTTGTACAAAAGAACACCCTGTGATAACGAACATTAGCACTTTGTAGCACAGTTTGAAGTGAAGCAGTTCAACAACGTGCCTAACGTTTCTGTGTAAAATCAGCACTGGAACCTGGAAGAGAACACGGATTTTCCTGACCCTCAAACAGCTCTCTCTGAAACTATCCCCATCGACAATCCTTGAGATTATATACAATCACTTACATTAAAATCATATTGCCAGTAGACTACAGAAAGTTACTGCAAAACCAATTAAGAGCAAAGTTGTACATATTAGCAGCTGCCTTGCGACTCAGAGGGCATTTTCCAAATAATTATTGCCCTTTTGCAATTATCATTGCACATCACAGAGTCTCCCACTCATTGTCTAAGAGAAAAAGAATTAAATCCACTTTAACCTACTGGATTTGTTTTTCTTTGAACACGTTGAATAATGCAGTTCTACAATTAAAATCAAAGGAATCCATAGACCTTGTCCTGCTCTACTGAAGATTTACAATGAAATGAAGCCAAATAGTATTTAGAAGTTCACAGAGGCTAGCAAAAGGAGTTATAACAGAATCTCATTTTTCAACAGCTAACAAAAGAATGATTGAGTCTATTTGGAACAAAAATGTAAGTATTTGTGTCAACTTCTGACTTAAAAATTATTAAATTCTTAATGAATCAATTCTAAGTTTTTGGATATTATTTTTAACCCATGTGGCCCTTTCCAAACTACATTTTGACTGATGGCAAGGAGGAGGAGTCAGAATAATAGCATAATTAACTGTCAGTCACATCCTTTATTTTCTATGAAGCTCAGTACCACAGTTCCTCCCACAAAAATAGCACATGTTGATGGCTCCCCCAGCAATCTGTGCATTAGTTATCAGATGTGGTGGTGGTGGTGGTGGGGTGTCAGTTTGGACAGCTGGATGTGTGGATCCTTACACTCATAGAGGCTAGAGCACAAAAATGTCTGCCCCATTTCTTTTGCTATTTCCAGGAGAGTAGCCAAATATTGAGATCCATGGTTTTGAAAAAAAAAAACAAAAACAAAAAAAAAACAAAACAAAACAAAAAAAAAAACCGAGCTTTTCCTGCCTATGCATTCTGGAAGAAACATGAAGTTAAACAGTATGTTTCATGTACATTACTGCATTTGTCATTTTTACATATCCAAGATTTTAACCCCCAAGCAACAGAATGCATCATATCATTTAAACATGGAGACTGAATAGTATATGCCAGAAATTACACAAAGTAAAGTTAAATCTGTGAGCCGATATCACTTAACATAGTTAATAATTTCATGGTGAGGTTAAAAGTTTCCATTAAATGAGAGAAGAAACACCAATTATTTATTTATATGTATGCAGAGTCCTTCAAGGCATTTCTAAAACATTCTAAACTTCAGTACCATTTTAGACGGACTGGTAGCCCACATGCCAGAAACTAAGTTCCCTGACTCTGTACTAACTTTGACAGAACAAAAACATTAAAAAATGATGATATCACCACAAACACATTTACAATATTATATAAACTAACAGGTATATAAGAATTTCTACTGTAAATAATTTTCTTTGTGGGGGACTGGGGCAGGAATCCACTCCAAAACTTATTTTGGAACATATGAATGCATTTCCCTTCATGATTATATGATATTTCACTTTGAGAACACGTGAAGGAGAGAAATATAAGAACAGAATCCAATTCTTCATGTAATCTGGAATCAGGAACCCCATGTTATTGTGACTAGCCCCAGGAGGATAAAAACAGCATCCTACTATATATACATTCTAGCTGTACACTCATGCTTATTAATGTTCTCTTTCCCACTTCAAAATAAAACACTATGTTTTAAACTGTGTAAATATTAATATAATATGTACAATGCATCCATGAAATATATCGAAGGGTACCAGTATATAAACATAAAGGCTAAAAGCTGTGAACATACAAATGAAGATACAAAATACAATCATCAACATCTTCTTTCTGTTTTTCAAATAACCCCTGACCACCACTCTTTTTGCAGTTCCAGTTAGTCCGAGTTGAAAAATGAGAGAAAGAAGGAGGGAAGGAAGGAAGGAAAAAGAAAGAAAGAAAGAAAGAAAGAAAGAAAGAAACAAAGAAAGAAGCAAAGAAACAAAGAAAGAAAGATAGATAGATGCAGAGTTATCATACTGACAGAAATTAAAGACAATCATCCAAAAACTGAAAAAAATTGTAACTCTGCATAAAGATGGCAGCCTCTGGGCAAATAGTTAGGAGCTCAATAAATACGTGTTGCATGATCATCTACAACTTTTCCTACTAAAATTTTAAATAATAACTTTAGACTGTATAGATTCCATGAAGTGTTTAATAAGACATTCATATTTCTTTTTACATTTTAAATAACCAGCTTTCTTGCTTACAATCTTTTAACTTGTAGTGAATCAAAGTCACTAAAATAGTTCTTGCAAGCTAAGTACAATTGTGCATCCAGAGAGAAACCCACACAGTTAGCAACGTTAATGCACACACATTCAACAGGAGAACCAGGCAGATGTGGAGTACGTGAAACAGGAACTTTGGATTCAGTCAAAGTGGAGCTAAGTACAGAATTTGTTTTGTGTTCTGCATTTTGAGCACCCAACAACAAAACCAAAAATAAAACACAGGCTTGAAGTGTTTGACATCTGATTTTGATTTTTTTTTTCTTTTTGAAGGCAGTGCTATTTTTCTCAGCAAATTTGCAGAATGTCAAAATGTCAACCTCTGGACACGTGTTTCTACTCCTTTGTAAAAGGCTTTGCTCCCCAGAAGAGACAGGGGAGGTCTAGGCTAGCCAGCCATGGTGCATGAATGTGCTGTGCTTATGCTCGGAGTGGGAATGTGGCCGTCGAACTTCCATTGCTTTCAACAGACCCCTTCTCCTTAGCTCCGGTGTAGGCGCCAATAAAAGATCCATCTTCGTTGAATATGGAGTGGTCTCCCTCTCCATATTCCACTAAGCTGTCAGCACTCTCTGTGGGCTGCATGTTCCTATTCAAGGACCGAAGGCTTCCTTTGAGAGGCTTTTCATCACTGTCACTAGAAAACAAAACAGAGCCATTCCCCAGGAGTTCAGAGTCACAGGCACATACAGCAAGACTCTTTCACAAGTGATAACAGATTCTATAATTTTTAACTTGTTCATATGAACACAAATGAGAGCTGAAATGACACCCCCCCAATAAGTATTTTAAAAGCCATAACTAATTTTCTTCATTCTGAGTGACCGAGAAACACTTTTCTATTTGTTTGCCCTTCTGCTTCCCTTTTAAATGAGGAGCTTTTTTGAGACATGAAGATGCAACATGTTGATTTATGTTGAGGCTATGGAGTGGGTACCTGTGTGCCCGTTAAACTCACATGTTGAATTGCTTCACCCCAGTAGGATGACAATGGTGTGTGGGATCATTGGAGGTTACTAGTCACAGAACAGCCTTCATGAAAGAGATTTGCCTTAGTGAAAGGGCCTTCAGAAAGCTGCCTTGCAATTTCCAGGGGGGAGAATAAGAGAAAAGGGCATGCATAAGTGAGATGTTAACTCTCAGCACACACTCATTCTGTCCTGACCTGGATCTTACTGTCCCGTCCCAGAATAGTGAGAACTATTTTGTTATTTTTTATAAGTCACTTAGTTCTGCCGTTTGCAATTGCTACTCTTTGGTCTAAGACAGAAGACAAATGTTACTTTCCTTGCTTTATGCACTCCTGTTGTTTCTGGGTCCATGTTTTCATCTTTTATCTTTTATTTTGATCATATAAACTCCTGTACCCTTCCAAATTTTCTCTTTTGTTCAGTGCAATCGATCAAATTTAGTTTCTTATGAAATTTTTCTTTGATTAAAATTGTTAAAACACCCTTATTAAATACAGCAGGTCACCCCCCCTCTCCCTCCCTCCCTCCCTCCTTCCCCTCTCTCTCTCACACACACAGAGAGAAGGGGGGAGAGAGAGCACATCACACTAGGAGAAGCATTTGTTAGGAAGACTAAGGGCTTGAGCTTAAAGGTGAAAAGGTAAGATAACATAATGGATAGGTATGAAGAAAGTACTGTATATCCAATGGAATTGTGAAATAACAATTTCTAAAAGAAAATATAAATAATTATGAATACTATTAATATACTATCTGATGTGCTCTTTACTCATTACAAGAAACAAAGCTGAAGTCAAAAATATCTACAAAATTATCCCATTTTTCTACATGTCTGATTTAAAAAGTGTAAGTACCAGTTCCTAAGTGAATGGATGACAAGAACCATCTGTGTTTGACACACTGTTGGGAAGGGAAAGTTCTGGTATCCCTATTTGACATTAGCATAACTCAAGATGCTTCAAAATTAGGACACTGGGGTTCTAAAAGCAAAATAAAAAGAGGTGGCACTGGCTTTGGGGGCAGATAATGAGTAGCAAAGACATGTATCTAAGGGCAAAGCATGTAAGAAAATTCCTGGAACACAGAAAAGACAAAAGTTTGCTGATGAATGTGAAGTTTCTGAATAAAATGCCAGAAAACATATTGACTATTTGAAAGGCTGTAATTGTAAACAATATAGGGAAAAGAAATTATCTGTCCTTTCAAAGAAAGGAGAGTAGAGTATAGACAAATAAGTTTTCGGACAAGGAATAGATTCAGGAGTTTGTTTTGTTTTGTTTCCCTAATACAAATGTTTGTGGACAGCTGTTCTGAGACCTCAGTGGTGCTGCCAAATGAAATTTGAGCAATTGTGTAATGTCTTCCTTTCAAATGCGTGCTGAACCTACTGACTCACTGAGCATAATAAGTAGAATATACTACAGCAGTGAGATATAAGTTCTAAGATTGGGGTATCAACATACTATGGATTGCAACTTGGGTGTTCGCTTTGGTGTTTCTGCTCTGCCTGAAGCTAGGTATTATTAAATGTCCCAGAGATAGTTCTATATGGTACGGAACTAAGGATGACTCTGGTTTGCCAAAATCTGAAGTTCTTAACCCATATATTTGAATGAAACCCAGCTCTGTCAACACACACATAAGGAAGCAGATCCACCATCAGCCAAACCCCGAGGTGAGACTACAGTCCTTGTCAAAAGCCTGTCTCCTGAAGACCACAGGCCAGAAACTCATGCCTAGCTTCATTTCACATGGGGAATGGAGATAATATCCAATTATTATTCTAAGTTTCACATATCAGAGATAACTAGGAAGCAAAGTCCAATCAGTGTAAGAGCACTGATCATAACTTACAACTCTCCCAAGCTAACATCTTTTTTCCTTTTACTCTCCTGTTTTCTTTCCTTCCTCCCCCTCCACTTTCTCTCTTTCTTTCCTTCCCTACCTTACAGCCACCCATGTCTTTCTCTCCCATTATTTTCTTGTCAAGAAATATAAAAGCATAAAAAGAAAGAATCTAATCATCAGAAAGAGAAGCTATGGGCATAGAGCCAAGCAGAGGCATGATGGTGCTCAGATCTGTATGAGTTACTCCAGATCATCTACTCAAAGTTCCTCACATCCCTGGTCATGCAGACAAATTCAGTGATGGGCCAGTGAGCGCCAGCTAGATTTCTTTGGTAGGGATTCTGGATCATATATATCAACATCAATATAAGTCTGAAATTTATAATAATTTTCCTGACTACAATAGAGAGAGACAATCTGACTAAGAATTGGTGACAATTCAAGAAAGAAAAGCTAAGTCATATGATAGACATAGGATGGGGCAGAGATGTCTAACTGGAGAAGTGGGAGTTGCAGTCCCTCCTCAAGTGCTGCTTTTGTACTAGACTTCTTTCTGTGTGGCTTCTGCCTGATTACATTCATACATTCAGCCATGCTCTTCAAGTAGTTATCAGTGACTCTATGGCTTTAAGTACTAACTTATCTATTAGATGGTTCTTTTCCCAGAATCCTTGTCATGCAGAATTAGTTGTTCACTTTTTAGTCATTCATTCTAATTGGTTGATAATATTATCTGAACATGGCAAGTTTTTTATTTGTTGCTGTTGTTTTGTTTTGTTTTTGCCTAGGTTCATGTATAGAGTTGAGTTTGGAACCTCTTTACTTTATAAATGCACATGGAGGAGTTGCAATCTGTGTATGTGTGGATGCAAACCTAAAGTAATCAGGTCCATAACGTCAACACTAAGAGTGGCTTTAAGACATTTCAATTACTTAGTTTATGGGGACATTACATGTGACATGTGTTTTGCACAGAGCTTCAACCAAGGAATCTTGATGCCCTCTGCTATCCAGAGTGTGATCCCCAACACACCTCCACCCCTGAACATAATAAATCAGTTCTTACAAAAAAATAACAGTAGACAGAAAGGAAAAAAAAAAAAAAAAAAAGAAAAAAAGAAGGAAGGAAGGAATGGGGACAGAGGTTGGGTAAGGAAACCTTTAGTAAAATTTCCTTTATAAAGTCAATATGATGTAGTTCCATCACTTGAGTTATAAACAAAGCACTTTCTCCACTTGACAAACTTGATGAAAGTGTTTCAAGTGATCACAAAACACCAAGTTCCATTTACCTGTATTCACCAAAAGTTTCATCTTTTGCTGATTGAACTTCTGGATCTGGGTGTAAATCTTCCTTTTCTTTTACTGAAACAGAAAAATTTAAAGTAGTCTAACATCAAAGGTATTGTAAACACCTGTCAGCATGGCTGCTGAAAAGTGAGTAGTCAAAAGACATTGCCCCCAATTTTTATGCCATTGATACTAGCTTTGCAAGCAATAGTTATAACTTATCATTTACTTTTCATTTAATCAGAAAATACAAAGGATTTTCTGGGTTCTATTTTTCTGCTATTAAGCACCTGGCAGACTTTCTTGTCATTCCTTCATATAAAATTGGCACTTGCCATACTGAAAAAGTCAAGCTCAGATCATTCTGTCCATGAACACAAAATACTCAATATTCATTTTTTCCTTCAAACCATTTGAAGATGTAATAAGCTCCTAATGACCTAAGTCATGAAACCCCTCAAAAAAACCAATCATTAGGCTGTTTTGCATCAATATTTTAATGAAAACTATCTTGATAATCAAACTAATCAGAGCTACCAAAGCATTATAAATATATAATTATTATTGTGGAGATGATTCAGTTTCTATAAAGTGTCTGTCAAACAAGTATAAGGACCTATGTGTTATCCAAGCACCCGATGAAAAAGCCAGACTTGATGGCAGTCAGTCATGGTTCCATCTCTGGGGAGGTGGAAACAGGAGGATCTCTGAGGCTTCTCGACTAAATTAGTCCAGCTAAATTTGTAAGCTTCAGGTTAGTGAGAAACCCTGTGTTAAAAAAATACAGTGGAGATGATTGGAGAAGATAATGGATGCCAACCTCTGACCTCCACATGCATAACCGCACTGGAAAAGGTTCACATCCCTCCATATTAAGAGTAACTTAGGGGGCTGGAGGGATGGCTCAGAGGTTAAGAGCACTGACTGCTCTTCCAGAGGTCCTGAGTTCAATTCCCAGCAGGTGCCCTCTCCTGTATACATAATAAATAAATAAATCTAAAAAAAAAGAGTAACTTAGCTTTTAAAAATATTTATTTACTTATATATAAAGTATTCTTCCTGTATGTATATCTGCATGCCAGAAGAGGGTACTAGATATCATTACAGAAGGTTGTGAGCCAACATGTGGTTGCTGGGAATTGAACTCAGGGCTTCTGGAAGAGTAGCCAGTGCTCTTAACCTCTGAGCCATCTCTACAGCCCCCAAAGTAATTTAGTTTTATTTGAAATACTGGGGCATGAGGTGGGTTCTTGATTTTCTCCCCTTTAAAATCTCAAACAAGTTCTCTTTGAGATGCTGTTCACCACTGCTTACTCTTAGCTGTCCTTCAATATGAAAAGTTGTTCGTTTGTGTTTTAAAGGTTGAACAGAGGGAGGGCTTCAGAACATGTATATTTTCATACTTCATAAATGTTAATTTTTAAAAGATAATCAAAGAGGAATGCTGTATCTCATTAAAGTTTCTAATGAATGATCTGGAATATCTATTTAGTCATTGTGAACATAATTGATACAAGCTAGATTTTAGAGGAAAATTGAAAGTGACAGCTGTGTCAATTACTCCTGCTATTTCATGAAAATGTTCTTTACGGTTTTATGTATATGATAGATTTTAAGTAAATTTTTAAGTAAATTTTTTTTACTTAAAAATTTTAAGTAAATTTTTGTTTGATGAACCAGGAGCCAATAACGAACAGTTTCTAAATCTGAATACTTTAAGCTGAGAGATGCAAGAGTTAAATCTTTCTCCGTTTGTAAAAGCACAATGTACAGGAAACAAAAATAGTAACAATATATATTTTTAAAAAACAAGTTGAATATAATTAAGATAAAAATAAGTTAATAACTAGGGTGATTTTATTTTTATTCAATGTATCATTAATTCAAGAGGTAGTGCAATCAATAGACATTACCCAGTAGAGTAATAGGAAATGCCCCTCTGCAATGCAATGGTGAATTCTAAGATAGCTAGGTAGTGGAGCCAGTTCTACCAGAATGTAACAGCAGAGATCATCAGAGCCAGGTACAGAGACAGAAGCAGAGGCATGCTATAAATAAATGAGCTCCTTTTACGGGTATTAAAACATACGTGTGACTTAATGATGTACCTTCTCAACATCTGATATAGCTATGAACAGAAAACATAAGTTTATAAGCATTATGATCCTTAAGGACCGATTTTAATGCTTTTATCTTAAAGATTCACTTCATTTGGGGGGCTGTGGAGTAGAGGTTGTCATAGAAGCCTTCTATGTCCCACTTTCACAACTGTGAGTCTGCAGTCATTGACACAACTGCAAAAGAAAATAGTGATAAATATGCTGAGATGTAGCTCTGCACAACTGATTGCTTCTATTGGGGTATGGGTGTGGGAGGACTGTTTTCCTTAAGAGGCTGGCCACTGGGAGTATGACTATGCTCCTGCGAATATATGGGCAACACAAATTGGACAACTTCTTTTGTGGAGGGAGATCATAAGGGTCGGGAAGCAGACATGAAAGGATTGGGAAGTGAGTGTACTCAGGGCGCATGATGTGAAATTCCCAAACAATCAATAAAAATATTATGTTGAAAAAAAGATTAATTGTATTTGATTTACATGTTTGTGTGAGTGGAGGTGCCTGAGGAGAGCAGAGGCATCAGACCCACTGAAGTCAGAGTTACAGGCTATTGTGGAACTATAATAATTGTGGAACTATAACCTTTGGTTGTTTAATTAAAATATTTTTCTTTAGTATATTTCATAGCTAATGCACTATAAAGTTTTATCTATATATTTTTTTTTTATAAAATGGTTTTCATAGACCAATTCCCGAAATACACTACAGCAAGTTGAAAATCACGTTAAGCCATGGTTTTACCTGAATACTTTCCACCTTTGTTCCTCTTCACAAAGCAAATAGTTAACAATATCAGTGTGAGCAGAGCGATTGCACACATCAGTCCAATAAACCAGCCTTGAGTGGAGATGTCGTCATATAAGCCAGCATATTCTGTTGTACAGAGAGAAGGTACAGTGTTGACCCACTTCTAGAATCAATCCGGGATATTGTGTAACATCGGGGCACAATCAGATATCATTTTAAAATAATAAGTAAATAATATTTCCTTTGAGCCCACAGGAAATAAAGTATTTTGAAGGCATTTTGTTGGGACACACTAGGAAGCCATTGCTTCCTTACTAGGGAAGAGGCTCTGTCCAGTTACATTTAGCTCTGAAGATGAGAATCAGAAGGATAGTGAAGTTAAATGCAGAAGCAGAAGCAGGAAAGCCATAGCACAAGCTGCCTGGGTTACAAGCAAATCATGGCACCTCTGTGAGCTCTGGTTTGCTTCCGTTTATTTTCTTAGTTTCTGTTATTGACAGGTGTTAATTAGCATAAAATTCATTTAGGTGACTACTCTGGCAAACCCAGTGAAGGAAACATCAGATCATTGTGATATGATTTCATTTTGGTAATTTTCAAATACTAAGAATGCCAATAAAATTGAAATTATGACCTTTATATCTAATGTACTCTGTATTTTTAATATAATATATATGTAAATTTAATACACAGGACATAGTAAATTGTCTAAGACTACGGCCCACACAATCTCATTTCTCACCTCTCCCTCTTGTCTCAATTACATCTTGAAAAATGCTATCGTTATCACCCCAGTTCTTAGTCATGAGGTGAACAATATGTTCCGCTCCCGGCACAAGTACCTCTACAGGGTGAATCTTTTGGGTAAGATTTACTCCTTCTGTTATCTTCCTGATACCTTTACCTAAGAAAGGTACACAGTTAAATCATATAAATTTTAATTACTGAAAAGCAGGAGAGAAATGTAAAAAAAATGTATATCGTTTTTTGAGATGAAAAAAAATCATTTTGGCATTTTTATCTTAAATGGCTCCTGAATCACCAATGGACCCAGGAATTAGCATTTCTAGATTTTTCTCTTAAAATGTTGAAAATGAATAAATGCAATGATGTCAGTTCATGGCCATTTACTGATGAAATGGTACTATAAATCTGCCTTCATGTGAATGGCTCAAAACCAAACACAGATTAAAAAGAAAGAGAAAAACTTCCAATTTTGTGTTATTTTTGTATTTGTTGAATTTTCACAGCTAGCTAATTTCAAAGCTGAATATATAGCCCTTGGCTTATGATTACAAATATAATTATGATTTTAACTATATTTTCATTAAATAGATAAATACATTGTTACCATGATCTCAGTATGTTCTCTTAATATGGCATCACAATATATTCACATATAAAGTATTTTAAATTAGAATCTTTATCTAGATTAAGTGCAGGTTTATAGATACATTTAAATGGAATGGTTTCACTGAGATTTGGAACATGTATGAAAAAGATGAATAATATTCCAAGAGAAGTTATCAATAATATGTTACTAAGTTAATCATTGAACCTCAGAGTAACAGATGAAAATGAGTCCAGTTTAATTAATATACATTAATTTCTGATCTTGCGATTAAATATGTAAAATACTTTTGGCATTAAATTCATATTTTTTCTAGGAATCAATTTAACATAGAAAATATAAATTGGTAAATGTAAATAATTTACACATGAAATGAAATAAGATCCCCAGTGAGAGTATAATGGATGATGGATAATGGATGATGAAACTCTTGGTTATATGGGCATAAGATACAAAAACACTTGATTATAACTTTTCATCACAGAATAAAAGTTGATTATATGACTACTGAACAATAAAAGATTTCATTAAAAATGGTGCCATAGAAGAAATAAAGCCAGTTTTACAGAGCAGCAAAGCTTTTAAAATGGATTATCATAATAGAATGGAATTAATTTTTACTTTAAATACCAGAAATATTAGTATATCATTTAGTGCAAGCTTTTGAAAAACAGAAATGCAAAGTGATTTATTCAAACCTATAATGACACAAAAGCATATTCTAACTCCATCCTCTTCCCCTCTTTAGAGAGACACTTTCAAACTGGAGTAATAACCAGAAAACAAAAGTATAAATGTTAAATCTCAAACTTTCAATACCAGAGTCTTAAACTGTGTTCCCTAGTCAAATGAAGGAGAAGAAATATTTGCAGCAATAGATTCTAATTTTAACTGTTATCAGTTTAAGAGTTCTTAGTGAAGCTGAGATAAATCTCTGTAGAACTGTATAATATTCAAAGATTGTGTCAAAGTTCAGTGGAAAAGCAACGATAATTTACAACATGGCAATGTATGTCTACAGAAGAGAAATCAGTGTCAACAGGGGGAAAAGGCAGTAGCTGGAATACTGAAAATGCAGATCCCTGGAAAAGAACACAGACACCTTAGTATAGCAGTTTTAATACCCAACATGGGATAGTGAAGCAACCTGCCTTTGTACACTGAAGCATGCTAGCTCTAACTTCGGTGTGCAACAAAGATGTGACATCAGCTATGAAACCACCCAGCCACACTTCCACTCTCTAAGAGAGTTTGTTAAGCACAAATGAAAAAAGCCCAGTTTTCCAATGTATGTAGTATTATGTGGAGCATGGCTAAGGCAATTCTGTGTTTTTTTTCCCCATGCTCCTTATTGTCAAGAATGGGGCTAATATTTCTCCTCATTAAGTTGTCACTTCTATCAAAACAGCAACTATCTCTGTGGTTGGATATCTTGTATGAACAATATGGAAATTGAGTATTTAGACCAATAACTACTCTTTGGAATACTGTGAATTGAGAATTTGATGCCAGTTTGTACCCTTGAGAAATATTCTTCTTTAGTGACTAGACCATTGTTATTATCTTGAAGTCTAACATTTCCTAGATTGATGGATTTTTCATTTCATTCAGTGTTTTACTTGTCCTTTACTCATGGGTTTGGGAGTGATGCTATTTGAAAATACTCTTCTTATATAAGCAACTTTAAGTTTAGAGGAGAAAATATAGACCCAAAGTTTTGTAGCTAGGAGGGAAACAGTAACAGAGAGAAACCTCTAGTAAAGTCCAGAGTGTAGCAATTCCTAGCAGGAGTACAATGATTGGTAGTGACTGACACATTTGAGTGAGTCATAATTGTGTCATTAATAAGTGATGCCCAATTTGGTTTTCTTCCTCACTACTGCCTATTCCCGGTATTTCTTCCATTGATTTAACTGTGTTACTAATCTACAGGGAATTACCTTTGCCATATACTGCTTGTGAATAAATGATTTTTTTCCCTTATTGCCCTCTCCCATCAACTCCTTTCTCTTCCCTCAAATCCTCCTGTGCCTGACTACTCTGAACCCCACATAAGGCCCCCTTTCTTGTTTATGTGAATATCAATTCTTGAATACCTTTTACTTAATTACTTAATCTATTTCAGTCTTGATGCACTATAGATATTATATAAAGAGTAGGAAGGAAAAATCCTAAAATTTTCATTGGAGAAATAATTTTTCAAGGTATATTGTTGCAATATAGGGGAAAGATAGAAACATAATTTAATTATGACTGGGCTACATGAGAGACCACAGACTGGTGAGTCATTTTCAATTGTTACTTAGCTTGAACCACCAGACAGTAAAATCAAATTTGACATACGAATTAATATACTATGGGTCAAGGCATGGAAGTGATATATATTGGATTCTATAAAATATCTACCAAAGTAAAAGACCATATTTTTAGACAGAAATATTCTCCAAAGAAAAAATATCCTTCTTCTAACCTTGTAAGAAACTTTGAGCCCATGTCAACTTATTTTACTCAATTAGAAGTGTGTTCCTGACCTTGTATACACTAAGCTATGGTTTAGTTGTTCAGAAACCCATAAATTGAACCAATGTGAACTTTCCAGACAGGATCAGTAAATTACAAAGGGGGTCAGCTGGATGTGGGTCAGTCGTTTCTAATTTACAGAGACTGGGTGCCTGCACTCTAGTGCAGTGTGTGAAGCCACAGCATGCAGAAGCATCAGCTACTTACTCCCTTCTCCCAGCGTGACACTTTCCTCACTTATTGGCTTTCCACAGCCCTTTGAGGTGCATGCCTTCAAGTAGAACTTGTACTTGGTTGTTGCGTTGAGGTTTAAGAGATGCCAGCTAGATTTAGATGGAGTAGTAACGTTGACTTCATTTAATTCTCCAATCTCATAGGTGTCGTTTACTGAAGAGACAAGCATGATCATTAGTACTGCCGAGTTCTTCACAACCAAAGTTACAGTGTGTTGTATTTTTCTCTATTTATTGAAAAAAGTCACCATCATTATTCACCACTATCAACTCTTCTCAGGTACACAGAATTATTATCACTATATCAACTAAAAGGAGACTGGGTTGTGAAAATAGTAAAATCCTTCCCAGAAAGCGACTCAGTGTCTTGTAAGCTAGGACTTTCCAAACCACAGCAATTTGACTCTGAGTCTCCATGCAATGATGGTGGGGCCGATCACCTTCCCAGTTTGTTATACATGCTGGACACTTCTCCATTACAGAATGGATCCTTAACAAAAATACTTCTCATGTTTTGTTATTGTTTGAGATAATAAATAAGAAAGTACCATGATTATTTTATGTTTTCTAGGGCTTCCCATTTACACTGTAGCTTCAAGTCAGCAGATATGTTCCTAGACTGGGGACAAAATTGTCCCTCATCCTTAGTGTATTGGAGGTGTCATACATAAAGCATAGGTTTAGTATTCCCAGTCTCCTGAATGTAACTTAGCAATGCAATATGCTATGGAGTTTGGGTTGCTGACTCCCATCATTGTTTGACTAACTAGTTGCTGGAATGAGCTGTCACTGACAAGCCACATCAGAGAGTGTGATGCTGCATGTGGGTAGCCAGGAGAAGAGCAAATTAAAACGTTGGGAGGTCCCAACACCAATATAGGTTCTTACTGTTTCTTTTAGATGCCCACCAGGAATTGCTGGTAAGACCCCATTGCTGAAGACAAACTTTGGTCAAGAGGTACAGAAAAAAAAAATCAAGCTGGAAGTGACCTGGAAGCTTTCATCCTGATAGTTAGCTTTCTTAGTTCCAGAAAGTACTATACCAGGTGCTTGGGGAGAAAACTCATCAGCTCTTTTACCAAGGTGTAAAACCTGAAAACTATGGTTCCGATCTATCTGGTGAGACATACCCATTGGTGTAATAATGGTAACAATATAATACAGTAATCAACTGTTTTTTGAGGTACATGTCACAGCCTTGTATTGTAAAGCTGGCCAAGAATCCACTGTTAGGGAGATCATAGGACCAAGGGAAGAATGTACTACTATTATTTTGCTAAATGAACATGATATCAAGCTATCTTCTAAACATTTATCTTTAAATCCCATAGATTAATGCAGTTCTCAGCCCTCATCAGTGATGCTTCTTTTTGCCATGGAAATCTGTTAAAAGAGAACTAACAACTGGTCAAAATGCAGAGAAAAAGTGACTACATGGTGATCAGCTTTAAATGAGATATCTAAACCATACCATCTCCCCAAAAGGGTCAATAAATTTTAGAGAAGAACCCTCACACTAAGCCTGGAGAACATTCCCCTTAACCCTGGAGAACCCTCCCCCTTAACCCTGTAAGAGTCATAGGTTGGGGAAGGCTGCTCTGAAATAGTGTCTTTCCGGAAAATGAACTCACTGGAACTATGGTTACCAGCTCAAGGGTGTGCCCCTCAATATCTCAACATGGAAGGGGGAAGGTTCATGAGGTCTCACTTTGCCCTGAGAGAATATTTACAATCAGTGGTGACTGGGGGAAGGGTGTCACTTAATTCAATGGCAAAATCACAGATAAGTTGCTCTTTCTCCATAAATAACCTCTTACCCATGCTCATGCAAGCAACCCTAATTAAATACAATAGATCATACACATAAAAAGACATGGGAGCAAGAAGGGGATATGTTGGGAAGAAGGGATTCAGTGGGAGAGGGAAGGGGAAAACAGGATAATGAGGAGTAAGGGGGATGAGATTTCATTATAAACATGTCTGAACTGGTAAAAGAATAAAAATACATTAAAAAGTAAAGTGTGGGATTTATTGAATATGCATTATATTTGTCCGCTCATAAATCCCAAACTTGCAGTTACATTATTGAAAGTCAGGAACTCTCTGAGCTCAGTATATAGAGAATCAATAAACTGCTGAACTGGTGAATGAATTAAGTGCTTTTAAATATCTACTGTGCTCTGAACACTATGTTAAATGCAAAAAAGGGCTAAATTATGTGGGGATATGTTTAAGGCCTAAAGACGGCCATGGCAAGGAAAAGACTGCAAAAAATTCTCTCTGCACTCATAAAAATCGAATTTATTTACATAAAATACCTTCCTTGTTCTACATAATGCGATTACATCAAGAAACTAAGTAGTAGTCTAAACATTGTAAAGATGGGAATATATTGGTCACTTTATCGCCATTAAACACTACAGATTCTATTAAAATAATTACTAGAATCAATACAAGAACTAGAGAAAGTATATACCACTCTGGTATCTACAAATGACAATTAATTAGACCAGAGAAGAAAAAGGAAAAAAAAAAACACTATTAAAATGTACCCAGCATTTAATATTAATAGGGAAATAAATAATTTAATTTAGTGAGTTTTAAGTACAATGACTATTGTAATTATCAATATCTCAACTACTCTGTTATGAGAAGTAGTTTTTAAATCAAATTTAAATCTTACAGACTAAAAAAATGCTTGAATTTAAACAAATTCAAAGATAGGATACAGCTTCACTAAACAAAATGAAAATTTAACACTCTTAAAATATTTCAGTCCTGCCCACAGTTTTGAAAATTGGTCCTTTGAAGAGTGTGGCTTAAAAACTCAAAAATCTAGACATACACAGACTTGAGTATTCATCCTAATGCAGCCTTTAACATTGTGGTGTGACCTTAAAATAAGAATAGGCTGTGTGTGTCAATTCCTTCATCCACAAAAGAGTGCTGATGTTCACTACCGCATGTGCTGCGGAGGTTGCATGGAACAGGGCAGGGAAAGCACTTACTACAAATCGAGCCTGCACGAAAAACACTGCAACAGGACTTCTCTTGGATTTCCTCTGTGTTTACTTGAACAGGTATTCTGTGTTCAGCAACAATCATTGGAACCTAAAGCTCATATGTGACCCAGACATGGCAGCTCAATAGACAGAGTAGTACACCAGGGCCAGGGTGAGGTTGGCTTTTGTGAGCAGGGTAAACTGAATGACTATAATCCAGGCTACTTAACAATTCATGGCCATTAAGTCTTATCATTGAGATATGACTGAAGTTCCACTTTTCACTTTGAAATGATGCTTATGTTTGATGACGGTTTCAGGTAGGGATGCTATGGCTCTAAAAAAAAGTGTTTTAAATTTGTTTAAACGTGTTCAATCTAGTGACACAGAAGTATGCAGAGGAGATTGTTCTGACTCTCTCATCATGACCTGTCTGAATCGCAAGCTACCAACTGAGAGTTCTATTCAGACAAATATACTTAGGCACAAGACTGGAATCATTCCCTCCCCATGGAAGAGTCCATCTTATTATGGAGCTTTGAATGTGCTTTGAATATACATTACATTATTTACTAACTCTGCCCCTCTGTTCCATAATTCTCAAAGCCACTCACAGATAGATGGTAAATACACCCTACTACCCACTGTTTTAGTTACAAAATAGGAGTCCACAGGCCTTTTAACAATATGAACTGTGAATACTTCATATTATGAGAAACATGTAGTGTTAGTTTCCCTAAATCACATTTGCTATTCTAGTGAGAAAACAGCTATAGTTAATGTGTAAATGGGTGAACTAGTCATGTCCCAATAAACACAGGTTTATTACTGAAACATACAGGGGCTACAGTTTACCTTTATTTTACTGATCCTTATGCTATAGGGAATACTGTCCATTATGTTGCAAGCTAATTCCTCAAACAAAAATTGAATCTTTGGTAGATTGAATCCAATTCAAATCTGTACTTACTTATCTGGTACTGTAAAAGATAACCAGTTAAATTTCCATTTAGTTTCTTAGGAAGTCCCCAGGATAAAGTGGCAGTGTCTTTATCAACTTTGATGACCTTGAGAAAACTTGGCTGTTCAGGTACTAGAAAACACAAGATCATAAATGGGCACTCATAAACTAATGAATTTCTAGAAAAAAAAACAAACAAAATCCCCCATGAGATAACACATTTATAGAAAGCAAAATGTGAATTCCTCTGAGCGGCACATTCGCTATCAATAATGAAAGGAATGTTTAACAGAACCATTAGGTAATTTGCATAGATGGCACCTTCCACATTTATTCTCTCACCTCCTTCTGGTGTCTGAAATATATAAGGCTCACTCTCTGGACCAGCTCCTTTGGAATTATAGGCTAAGACTGTTAAGTGGTATTCACTAAAGGCATCTAGAGAAGGAACCATTCCAGAATTTCGCTGTCCTGAAAATCTTAAGATGTTCACTTCTTTGGGATGTGTCCTTCCATCCAATAGACTTTTGGTTTTCCACCAATTTATCTGCAAAGAAAATACAAACCATTTAACACAGCAACCAGAGTAATAGACACTCAGTTGACCTCTTGAAATTAGTTTAAACTGTCAGTAAAGAAACAAATTTAATAGTAACAATTGGGGAATAAAAACGAAACAAATATTTACTTAAAAATATCATCCTGGTACCAACCTGGTATCCTTTTAGAAGCCCATGTACTGTTTCTTTTGGAATTGATGACCAGGTAACTTTAACTAATGTGCTGTTCATAACATCCACACTATGGATCACAGGAGCTGTACTAGGATCTGTAAAACATTTAAGATTGATTAGTTTCCAATGACCTACACACAGGATTCGTAAGATCTCTTTCCAAAAGTAATCTTCATAACAATTAGTCTGGGGAAAGCACTCATGAGCTATTGGTTTCAAATGATACCAGCAGTTTCCTGGTACAGAGGAATTTCTCAGTCCACAGGAGTTACTTTATCTATCCTATTGAGAAATGATGATAGTAATGGGGGAAAATTAAATGAAAGTTTAAAGCCATGTACACTGGAATGTTCTCCGAATAAAAAGAAAAAAAATCATACTCAGTAACATAAATTATTTCAGAATTAGATTCACATTAAAACTACAGTTGTCTTGGTCAGATTTAGGGTTATTTATTTACTTGTTTTTATTTTGTCAACTTGACAAAGGCCAGGGTCATCAGAGAAAAAGCAATTTCAAACTGAGAAAATGTTCCCATTACATTGCCTTTAAGCAAGTCTGTGGAGCAATTTATTGATTCATTGGCTGATCTGGGAAGGCCTGGTGCACTGTGGGTGCTAGTTCCCCTGTGTTGGTGGTCTTGGGTTGTATCATAAAGCTGAGTCAGTCAAGAGAGCAGGCCAGTAGGCAGCATTCCTCCATGGCCTCTACATCAGTTCCTGCTTCCATGTTCTTGTCATGAATTCCTGCCTTGACTTTCCTCAGGGAAAGAGTGTTGGCCTAAGAGTTATAAACTGAAATAAACCCTTTACTACTCACATTGCTTTTGTACATGGTGTTTATCACAGCAAAAAACATTTTTACCTAAGACAATAGTCAACATCAATAGAGCATGCACTGTGCTTCAGATATTTAGAAACTCTATCTGGATCAACTCGTATATAATTTAGCGTATCCTTATGAGATCAGCACTGTCATTCTGCTCTATACAACTGAGATTACTAAAAAGGAGCCAGCAAGACAAATTGTTTATAAATGATTTTTTGTATCTTTTTTATTTGAATATAATAATCTGAAGACTGGTAATATAAGAGATTATCATTCTTGACCTTTCCTTTTTGATTCAAAACATGACTCCAGATACTAGAACAAACTAAGAATATCTCCTAATGTGAAAAGTTGTCCAATAAAGTCTTTTATTTGTCTGGACATATAATTGCAGTAGTTATTATGTTATTAATATTTAATAATATGACCTCATGACAGCTATTTCAAAATCATTCAAATGGTTAGAATTCATATTCAAATCTGGATGTGTATCTCATCTGTGTTAGGCACTCTCCAGGCATGCAAATGAGGTCCAGAGAATTGTAGCAGGCTGTTGCTAGGAAGCCCTTGATAAGAAAGGCTACATCTAACAAAACCATGGAAACCCCATGACTGTTATGTTCCTTCACAGAGTCTTGTGATGGTTCCATGTCTTTGATTTTTCAAAACACAAAGAATTTTAACAAGTTCTTGAATAAGGCAGAAAATTTCAAAGTATTTGTTTTGTTGTTATGATTTAGTATTTTTTCCTTTGCTTTCAGAAGTTTATTATTCTTTTGATACTGTGTCACATGTTGCCCACACTGGCCTCAAATGTATTACGTAGTCAAGGATGACCTTGAACTTCTTATCCTTCAGCCCCCTACCTTAAAAAAACTGGAATTATAGGCATTTGCTGTCACATCTAGAGTTGAGTCATACTAAAGCTTCAAACACAGAGCTTTGTGCATGCTGGGCTGGCACTCTGTTGACAAGCTATATGTTCCCAGCAAAAGGACTTCGTTAGCATTCTTTCTTGACTAGCTCTCTCCAAGATCAACCCTAACTTCAAAGCATCCACATATTTATTTTTCTGTCTCATGGGTAACATATTATCTTTGCAAGCAGGAGTTATTGAAAAACGTTGACACAAATGCAGTAACTTGAAATTTTTCTTGATATGCTTAGGATTTAAAAATGAACCACTTACAGTCTTCCCCTGAATAGAGTGTCACTGGCTGAGGCTCAGGCCCAGAGCCGAGTTGATTGATGGCTTGGACTTGGACATCATAAGGAGCATAGACAGTAGGTGTCATCACCCGCAGTGTGTGGTTTGTAACTGTTTCTTCTTCCCATTCCTCAGGCGCTCCCTGGGGCTTCCAGCTCACTCTATACTCTAGTCCTGGACCATTCTGCTCCATGGATTTCAAAGGCTAAAACAGAAATCAATGCTCATTTGATGTACTTGTAGATATGCTGACCTAAAGACAGCATTGAATCATTTTAAAGACTGTGAGACTAACCAGAAAAAAAATATCTTAACTATGCTCCTTGGAGTCAGAAGCATTATTGCCATTTTATTAGTTTAATTTTATGCATCAGTCTTCTTCTATCCAAAGACATGGGAGACTTTAGAAGCCTGAATTATACACATATGGTGAAACACAGATGCTCATATATAAAATATATTACAAATAGATTACAAATAGTGGTTTAGGTTTCTTGCTCCTGATATATTCTACATTTTGTTTCTACCAAAGAAACAGAAACTATGTGGCCATGAACTCTTGGTCATGGAGTCTCAAGCAGAATATTTTCCTCCACAAGATTCTGTCCCAGCTTCCATTAAAAGATGGACAAGGAACCATCTTCAATTTCAGAAAATGGACATGTTTAGAGAGAGCAAATGGAAGCAGTACTTCCCCTTTTTAATGAATACTTTCTTAGCTCCTTGGCACAATATCACCACTTTACTTATTTTATTTTGTAATACAGAATGGTTTTGTGGAATAGTTTCTGGTTTTCTTTTATTAGAAATTGCTTATTTCAACTTTAGTTTTTAATTAAGGAAAACTTTAAAGAAAAAATAATATGGTTTAAAGCACCAATTTAATTTTACAAATGGGTACTTTATTTAAATGATTCAGCTATGTATATAAAAATTCACTTAAAATGCATTTTCATGCTAAATTAGAAGTTAATTTATATTAAGAGTAAATTTATCTATGTATGTGGGTGACTAAATGCCATATAAAATGTTCTTGTAGTTTTTACCATGCTTTTTCATTCAGTATAACTGGCTAAAATACTTACTAGAAGCATCGGTTGGAATTACATTGAAAACAGAATGCTCTATCAACAAACCATTTTAATTTTATATTTATTCCAAAGTAACTACTTAAACTAACTAGGAGAAAGAAAATCAAAGACTCTTAAACTGAGCATAGTAGGAAACGCCTTTATAATGGCAGTACTCCCAGCGGCAGAGACAGGCGATCTCTGTAAATTCAAGGCCAGCCTTTGGTCTACAGAGTGAATTCCAGGACTTCCAGGGCTGTTACAAAGAGAAACCCTGTCTTGAAAAGCCAACCAACCAACCAACCAACCAACCAACCAACCAACCAACCAACCAAAAAATAAATGACTCTTAATTCCCAAAGTTCTTGTTTTTATTTACATGTACTAGAAAGTATCATTCAAAAATATTTCAGTATAATATGGATATTGATTTAAATTCTTAGATTCACTAGGGGCCTAACATTATCTAAATAAATTAGATTACACACATTTTAAGGATTTATTTTTAATTTTAATTACTTGTATGCAGTGTGTCTGTGTGTAGTTATGTGCAAGTGAGTACAGGTGCCCAGGGACTCCAAAGAAGGCATTGTTTCCCTGGATTTAAGATTAGAGAAGGATCTCCACGTCCCTTGCCTGCAGTATCTCTCCTCTCTCTCATCAGTTGGATTCCCTGAGCTCAGCCTGATGCCTGGCCATAGTTCTCTGTATCTGCCTCCATCAGTCACTGGACAAAGGCTCTGTGATGACAGCTAGGGTATTTGCTAGGCTGCTCACTAGAGTAGACCAGGCCAGGCACCCTCTAGACCAATGCCAGCAAACCAAGGTGGGGTCAACCTTGTGGATTCCTGAGAGCCTCCCCAGCACCTTGCCTATTCTTATTCCCATGATGTCCTCATCTATCATGATATCTTCCTCCCTGCCCTCCCACTCTGTCCCATTCTAGCTTGACCCTCCCATTTCCCTATGTTCTCATCCCCATCTCCTCACCCTCTGCCACCCCCACACACACACCCAGTCCACTCATGTAGATCTCATCCACTTCTTCACAAAAGTCATCTATGTGTCCCTCCTAGGGTCTTTCCCTGTTAGCTAGCCTCTCTGGAGTTGTGGGTTGCAGTCTGGCCATCCCTTCCCTCACATTTAGTATCCACTTATGAGTGAGTACATACTATGTTTGTCCTTCTGAGTCTGGGTTACCTCACTCAAGATGATATTTTCTAGTTCCATCCATTTGCCTGCAAATTTCATGATTTCATTGTTTTCTACTGCTGAATAGTACTCCATTGTGTATATGTGCCATGTTTTCTTTATCCATTCTTCAGTTGAGGGGCATCTAGGTTGTTTCCAGGTTCTTGCTATTACAAATAACGCTGTTATGAACATAGTTGGGAGGACGTGCAGAGATGACCGGCCACATTAGATGAACTGTGGAAGGGTAGCTGTGGAGCCCCCATGGGACTGGACTAGGCCCTCTGGATACGGAAGATGGTTGTTTGGCTTGAATTGTTTGGGGGCACCCAGGCAGGGGGATCAGGATCTGTCCTTGGTCTATGGGCAGTCTTCTGTAGCCCAGTGCCTGTGGTGTGACACCTTGCACAGCCTTGGTGCAGTGGAAAGGGGCTTGGACCTGCCTAGGCTCAGTGTGCTGGGCTCTGCTGTCTCCCCATGGGAGACCTCGATTTGGGGGATGTGGGGATGCGGGGTGGCTTGGGAAAGAGGTCTGGGGGTGGGAGGAGGGGGGATCTGTGGATAGTATGTGGAGTGAGTAGAAAATTTCTTAATAAAGAAAAATGAAAAAAAAATTAAAAAAAGAAAATTTGAGGAAACACACACACACACACACACACACACACACACACACAAAGATTATAGAAGGATGTGGGGCATCTGTCATGGGTGCTGGGCTAAAATCTCAGTTTTCTATAAGACAGTATGTGCTCTAAATCACCAAGTCAACTCTCTAGTCACTGATACAAGCTTTTAGGTCCAAACCACAATCTATAATTATATTTTTCTCAATCCTTACTGACAATAAGTATATAAGTTAATATTATTAAGTTTGCTCATATTTTGCTCCAGGAAAAAAGGTAAATTTAATAATGTTCTCTGACAAAGTTTAAAGTAAACTGTGCCAGTGTTAAGAATAATTACTTAGTTATGTTGCCAACTATTTGGTCCCCGGGATTCTGAAGGAATTTTGTATTTTGCTTTGAGGCAATAGTCAACAAGAAAAACAAAAGCAAAACAAAAAGACTTTCATAATGTTCAAATAACATAAGGAAAGTTAAGTCTCAGAAAAGCAATGATGAATCAGGTGAAGAGGCCACTAGCCTTTCTTCTCTTATCCAGCCTGACCAGAATGAAGAGCTCTCTAGAAAGACACTGTTAAATTAGGGACATAAAAACTCACAGAAGTCCTCGGAAGGACCTGAGACGCCTATGCTATTGTTACCAAGTCAGAAATTGTGTGTACTTAGTGTAGAGCACATGTTATTTTGAATATATTTATATTGTAGACTATAAAAATGGTAAAAATCACATAAGTTTTCACTGTGTCATACATATGTATCTTTGTGTGGTGAGAGTAGTTAAGATTCTCCCTTCTACTAATTTCTAAGAATACAGCACATTTTCTAAACAATGTTCATTATTTTGTTTCCTTAATTTTCCATTTAATTCTCTTTAGTTTAATTTTAAATATAAGTGGATTCTTTTTCTTGTGAAACTTTTAATTCATATAATTAAACCTTTAGCACTTGGGAGTTGAATGCCCTGGCTAGCTAATTTAGCAACTGAAGAACTTCCTACTTCCCTGCTTTTGTTTGATGCCTGGGTGAATTCATTCACTTACTTGCTGTTTAGGTGTTACTTATAAATTTTACTTTGAAGCTAGTTATGTTATTGAAATAAATTTTAAAATTTATTTAAATATGCTTAGAAAAAGTGAACAAAAACTATCAAGCAAGAGCTATTTTTTAAAAAAAAAAATCCTTTTGATGACCTAAATCCATGTGTTAATGTAATAATTTTTTAGTAAAATAGAATTACATCAGTTTCTCTTTCTTCTCTCCAACCTCTCCCAGGGACCCCCTGCCTCACTCCCTCTCAGCATCATAGCTTCTTTTTTTTTTTTTAATTTGCTATTGTTTACACACACACACACACACACACAATATATATATATATATATATATATATATATATATATATATATATATATAACTTGTTTAATCTGTTTAGTTTAACTTTTATGCATATATTTCAGGACTGACCTCTTGGCATTAGATAACTACTTAGGGGAAGACTGTTTCTTCTACTCAGCATTCCCTAGTTGCCTGTAGTTATTTGTTTACAGATGGATCCTAAGGCCCACCCAGCAAGACGGAAATCATCCCTGATGCTAGAAACTTAGCCAGCCTCCTGGGGCTAGTGAGGTCATAGATCTTAGTGCAGAACCTACTACCACCAATTCACTAAACAAACAATTCCTAGCTGCATTCTTAATATCTATACATATACCTGCAGATGAGTGCAGCTCTCACCCTTCATCAAAGAAACTTCTCTTTGCAACAGGAGAAAATGACAACCAGGCAAAATGCAGAGAACAAGGGACTGTGGGGCGCCCAGGCTCAGTTGATTCATCTACTACATAACCCTAGTTCCAGAAGAAACTTGCGAATTATATATTGAAATAATATTATCATGGATGCTATCTCAGCAGATATAAATTGTTTTGCCAAAGTCAGAGTGCTTTGTTTTAGCAACATTTCCTGGTCATCTGTTTCTAACAGTGTGAAGAAAGGAAGGCCCTCAGTGTCTGTGTCTAAAGCAGAGAATTGATGAGGTTATAATCGGAATTAGAAGTAAATGCCTATAAGACCCATGGCACCTATTTGGAGAAGGGTATTTCATAATATTTATTAGACCACATGATGAGAGTATTTTTTTTTACTATATCTTAATGGTGAAAGTATCTAAAATACTTGAAATAAGTTACTAGAAATTTGAAATTTTCCCTATCAGATTTCATCTTGATTAATTTGTTTATCTGTCATTAAATCTTTTTTCCAGAATTAATCCCCATTTTACACTCATTCCTGTTTGTTTTCCAGCTCTTGGAACTGAGCCCAAGCTCTCTTTCTTTCTAGACAAGCACTCCACCAGGGAGCTACATCTCTAATCCCATTTTATAGCAATTTCTAATCACTGTGACCTTACAGCACTGACAACTAATCCAAATTTAGTTTTAGTTTCTAGTCTTATTCCATTGCTTTTAAAAAATACGGTTGAGTCATTACAGTTGGCAAGCCTAGTTAAAAGGAATAGCCAAGGAAAGCAAATTAACATCTTAGGGAATACACACCTCCCATTTTATAATCATCTCCTTAGGTTGGGATGCTTGAACCCTGATGTTCTGTGGATTCTTGTCCGGAGCTGAGAAATGACAAGCATTAAAAATATCTTTATATTTTTTAGTAACCAGTTGGCTAAACATCATATAACTCCACCCAGCCCCTCAAACACCCAATAATTAAATATTTTATATTTATTAATTTCAATAAATCTCATTGCTATGAAGATGATACATTTTATTAAAAGGAGTAAAACAGTACTCTCAGAGTGCTGTATTTGCTATACTGTGGATAGTACATGATTTACTACATATACCTTAAATTTAAGCCTACTAATTAAAATTCTAATCCTGATTTAATATACTTGTTTTCATTTTCAAACTGTACTTTTTCATCAGAATTATTGAGATATGTATATGATGTGAATATATACCTCTAGAAAATGAAATTGAAATTCATGTATCAACATCAACAAGCAACTTTTATGGATATCAAATTGATATAGCATGCAATACACACATGAAATAAATTCAGGCAGATGCATTTTATTAGAAACATCCTAAGAAGAATTTTAACACTGAGTCCAGTATAAACTAAAATCATGCGGGCAACATGCTTAATTTACTTGAGGAAAAGCAAACACCATATTAAACCATGACACTGCCCAATGCTAATTCTGTAATATATATTGTTTACAATGTCTCTATTGGTTATTCATAAAAATATACTGATGATTTAGATAAGTATGGAAATAAAAATGCCAAATGCATAAGACGTAACACTAGCACACAGTTTTAAATTTTTAAAAGATTTCATATGAGCTAAAAGCATTTCTTTGGAAATGAATCCATGGCTTTCTCTGTATATTGAACTTCCATTTAGAATTTACATGATGAAATACGCTTCAACTGTGATATTTAGCTATATTGAAAACTATTCAGAGTAATGTTTTTTTCAAATACCATACCCCAATGCCAATCTTCTGTTCACTATCAAATAATTACACAACTCTAAAAATTAAAATGCACTTCCAATATTTTACGTTGCTAATTTATAGAACTTTTCAAATTATTTGGAGAATCTAGAATCCTACATTACATGTTTGATCTTTTTTAAAAAGAAATGTGTTCAAAAACAAAGAGACCATCCATACCTGCTGGTGGAGTTTCATGATGGTCCGATGGATGGCTGGCATGACTTCTCCCCACTTCATTCACAGCTATGACCCTGAACTGATATCTCACATATGGAGCCAAAGATAACACAGCCTCTGTTTCTTCTCCTTGGACTCTAGTTAGCTCCTGCCACTTCCCAGGTTCCTCTCTGTTCCCTTCAAATTCTATAATGTACTCTGAGGTAAGAACAGGATCAAACCATTAGATCATATTGAATTTGTTGAAGATCTACTAAGATTAATTTGCCATATTAAATGCTCAAAACAGAAGAAAAAGGGAAGTGATTATTGGTACTGACAGAACAGTAAAAAGCATTTTCCTTCAAAGCGTGAAGCCCTGTGTTCATTTCTCAAACACACATAAAAAAGCTGGTGGTGTACATTTATAATCAGTAAGGGGAAGGTGGAAACAAGAGAATCCCTAAGGTTCCTAGGCAGCTAGCCTCATCTACTGGATAAGTCACAGGCCAATGGGAGATCCTGCCTCAAAAACAGTCAAACAGATCAGTACCACCCAATATTAAGGAATGAAACCCAAGTTTGACTTCTGACTTACATACATACATACACACACACGCACACGCACGCGCACACGCACACGCACACGCACATGCACACACATCTGTATACACAGGAACTTGCATACAACAAACATACAACAAAAACAACAAAAAAAGTTGAAGGAAAAAAGTAATGTCATTTACAAGAATATGAGTGAAAGTAAAGAAAATCATCTTATGTAAATTAAGCCAATCTCAGGAAGAAAAAATTATCTGTCCATTTTCATTTGTGGTTCTTAGATTTCATATAAGCACATAAAATCAGGTACATGTATGTGACATGAAAGTAGAATTAAAATTGCCAAGCCAGATAGGTCAAAAGGTATAAATAAGAAATGGTCAGTAGAAGAGACGTTAGGACAGTATGAGGAGGGTATGGTCAAGGCATAATACATACTTGTGCAAAAACTTTAAAAAATTAAGTAATTAAATAGAGTTTATAGTAGTATTTTAAGAAGGTTAATCCAGGAGCTGGAGAAATGGCTCAATAGTTAATAGCATTTGCTGCTCTTACAAAAGACAAGATTCAGTTTCCAGCACCTACACAACAGCCCACAATCATCTGTAACTCTAGTTCCAGACAATATAATGTCTTCTTATGACATCCACAGGTACTTCACTCATGTGGTACACAGACATATAAAAAGACACACACACACACACACACACACATACATAACACACAAGTCTAATTAAAAAAGAAAGATAATCTACCAATGGAAATTAAAATAGCTATGATATTAATTTTACTCTGTTGGGTAAAGATGAAGGTCATTTCAAATCTTCCTACCGCTGATATTGCTGTTGTGGTCATCTCCAGCTTCCCAGGACAGCCGGACACTCCTGTTTTGTCTTTCTGACAAAAGAAGGTTTCCTGGAGGATCTGGAACACCTAGTCAATAACAAAAGATAGCTGTAACATGACAGCGAACAGCTTATAGGAGAACTGAGGGTGCCAGAGCAGAGATGGTTCCATGTGGCAGGCACCACCTTTTTCAAGGGATTTCAAGATCATTGGTCATCAGCCAAGTTCAGCTTCCTGAGAGGAATTAATAGTCAAAGCTTCCAATTTATCTGTAAACTCTCCACTCTGAGGATGAACTAGGCTGATGTTAAAATAGTCTTTTTATACACTTATGATTCTTTAAAGTTCAGAAAGCACATTTGTTTTATTTTTCTTCTCTTATACCTGACCACAGCTTCCCCTCCCTCTACTCCTCCCAGTTCTCTCCCACCTCCCTCCCCCACAGTCCCATGCCTCCACCTCCCCTGATAAAAGAACAGGCCTCTTATCTATGTTATTTTATTTAGTCAGAGTGTTTGCCTCTCTTGGGCACTGATTCAAAGAGAAGCTGAGTCCTGAAAATATTTTACTTTTGTCAGTGATGCATAAAAATATTAATAAAACAAAATATCAAGAAACTATCTGTTGTGGGTTAATCTTTTCGTACATTGTGAAGATGTGTCTTTGCCAAGGTGCTTTCTGAATGGTTTAATAAAGAAATGAATGGCTAGTAGCGAGGTAAAAGAAGATAGGTGGGATTTCAGGGAGAGAGAGGGAGAGGAAATGAATCTAGGCATGAGACAGATGCCAGCAAGACATGGAAGGAGTCGGACATGCAGAGTGAAAGAAAGGTAAAAGCCACACGGCAGAATGTAGATGAATAAAAGCAGGTTAATTTAAGTTATAAGAGCTAGTTGGGAACAAGTCTGAGCTAAAGGCCAAACTTTCATAATTAATAATAAATCTCTCCACCATTATTTGCAGGCTGGTGGTCCAAAAAGTCAGATGGGAACGCTTGCTACACCTACCTGAGAATTTGTCCAAGCTTAGCTGTGCTATGTTTCTTTATAAACAAACATGATCTTAATACTTGGGGTGGAAACAAAAGACAGCTATAAAGAAAGCAGATTGCTGCTTTGCTGCCCTGATTCCCAGGCTCAGAGACACCCACAGTCTCCCTTCCCTTCTGAGACCACTGAGCTGTACACGTCTCGGCAGCCCTAGAGCTTCTATTTCAAATGAAGTCTTCTTCATAACTATTTCCCTGTTGGACACAACTGTTCTCAAAAGACCACACTTGACTGACAGGGCATTGGAAATGTCTGGAGAAGAATATTTAACAATGAATGGCATCTGTTCTTCATGTCTGGTTTACTGAAGGAGGGATGATCAGAATGAGCACTTGCAAATTTCTTGCCTATGTGATGAATATATATGGTCAAGTTTAGGAGATATGATGGGTCTCTGGTAGATCGCTGATTTCCTCCAGTTCATCCTGATCTATGTGCCAGGCTCTTCTCTGTGGGACTAGAGTATCTTTAGGAGAAGGGATTGTCTTACTAATCTTTGTATTGTTCATGATGCCTTGCACATAAGTGTTTTGTGACTAAATGAGAAATTGAAAAACATATTGTCATTTCATCCATGCATATAATTATTCTATTAAATAAATAAAAATTGTGTCCTATGGTTATAGATAAACAAGACAGGGACCATGAACTTTGCATGGCTCTTCTGCAATTGATTTGGGATTTTATTATAATTAGTGATAGTCAGTTGTACATATGTTATAACAGCTTTTATAGGATGTTGGCCTGGTGTCTGCAAAATGTGGGAAATAATTGTATAATAGAAGATGCATATTGGGCACTGGTAAGTGTAACAGAAACTGATAAATCAAAAGCAATGACAAATATTTAAGTGTTAAGGTACATGGATATATCATATATATGATATATGTATGTCTCCATGGTAAAAAGAAAATGTTATCTTCAACTTTAGTTTAAAATTTGCTCTAATATTCTCAAGTATTCAAGGACATATGCTTTAGCTTGGAGGAGACAGTAAAGCTATTGCCATGCTGGCCATTACTACTTGGCAAATTCTTGTTGAGTGTACATTTACAAAAAGCTTTGCTTATAGTTCAGAAAGCAACATGCTCACTTTTAAAGTTTGGCACATGACTCTATTCCAAGGTCAAGGACTTAACTGAGAAAATGTTTCCCCAGGAGAGGGCTTCACAATCAGACTGCTTACCAGGGGTGTACAGACCACACCCAGTCCTACCCCCTCACAAAATGTATTTCTTCAACAGTGTTCTATAATTGCCAGCTTGGAGAATTTACTTTTCTCTTTGAGATTTGCTAAGAATCCAACACATCCTGTGGTTTCCTCGCCGATCCCAATTACCATGTTTCACTTGAGATGAAAATCTGACTTCTTCAACCAGCCATGACATGGAACCAGAAGAACAAAGGCTTTGAAAACTGCTTCTTAAAATATTTTATACTAAAACTTCTGGAAATAACTTCTAAACAAATTTGTTTATGTCTAGGATTTTAAAACACTATTTCGTAGGATAAAATATTCTAGGAGCTACACCTATGCCAAAAATAATTTTATGGTCAATTATTGATATATTTTAATCAAAAATTAAAACTAAATAAAATATAATTTAAAACCAAGGAAGCAGTTTTAAAAAGTTATCCTATCTTATCTAAAATTCTTTACTAAATTGTTAGGAGAGTGCCAAGAACATAAATGGTATCTATGGTCATAGCTACTAGCTGGGTGGTTGTGATGCCACCGCCGCCGGCCTGTGCCACCTCCACCTGGCTGGTGATGCACGCCTTTAATCTCAGCACTACGGAGGCAGAGCCAGGCACATCTCTATGAGTTGAAGGCCAGCTTAGTCTACAGAGTGAGATCCAGGACAGGCACCAAAACTACAAAGAGAGGAAACCTTGTCTCAAAAAAAAAAAAAAAAAAGAGGAAGACTAATATGAGGGTGAATTTTAATATTTGCAATGAAACTCAGAAGGTGGGCGCTGACAGCAAAAAGCCAACCTTTCCTTGCTGCCATCACTCAAAATATGGAGGTGTCCAGATGCTCTGTACTCATGACACCTGAGATGCAGCTCGCCAGATGCTCAGCTTCTGTGACTTGCAAATACTGCTGGAATAGCTACCAGAGAATGAAATATTTCCACTTGCAGAGTCCCAGGAAACTCACTTACCTAGAGCTAAAATCTCACCCACTGAGCCAAGTCTATATTTTCTATGATATAGGATGTACTACATTGGCCTCAACTTAGCAGCTATTGGCTTCATATAAAGGAATCCAACACCAGCTTACTCACTTTCCATTGAAGGAAATTGTAAGCTCTCAGTAGTGGGCATCTCAGGTAATATTTAGCTCATTCCATTAGGAAATGTCAAAGGTGTTAGCAGGAAGTCCTTCTTAAATGCATGTGGTATCCATAAAAAAAAAAAAAAGAAAAGAGTATCCAGAGCCTGTTTTTTGAGGTTGGCTTGAAATTCTAATGGTAGGAAAATCCCTTGAGAAGGAATTTTGTAGGAAAAGCCTTTCTGGAAGAACTATGACTTTGGCAGTGAGATTCAGCAAGGAGAGAAGAAGGGGTATGATTGCCCTCCATACTTCTCAGGATGTTACACCTGCAGCATCAAAGGAAAACTACAGCTTAAATGGTTTGCTGCTGTTGTCTTTACAGAGCAGGTTTGCAGATGGAAGAGCTGGTGGTGAGTCAATGGAGAAAGGCAATTGGAAAGCAGCCAGCAGAATGGTCTGAGGGCTAAAAACTCTGGTGATTTCAGGGCTAATTGCATTGATTGCACTAGTGAAGTGTGCACACTGTTTTCCAATTAGTAATTAAAAAAATCAAAGATGTTCCTTTACCGAATACTTGATGTCTGTGCTCAGCTTCCTGGGGCCTTGGGAGCTCAACCTAAGGTTCTGGTGTAGACTATAAACACCAGGTATCGACCACTGGACACTCCCATTCTCCGGTCTTAAATGGAGCCCTCTTCCATTCTCAGCCCCACTTCTCTGAACATTAGTAATGGGTGGATTGAGACCTTTGTTTTTCTTTCCACTGCCAGCATCGCTTATCTCCTGCTGCTACTGGCAAACTTCCCAAATAGGGAAAAAGCATTAAGCATTAATTAATTTCTTTTATGTGAGAAGAGTAGAAATAATTTAAAAATGAAGTTGCAGTTCAAACAAACAAACAAACAAAACACCAAATTTTCCTTTAAGAGCAGAGGCTCAAGAAATCAGTGGCTTTAATACCTAGAAACAAGGGAAGTCAAGTGCTCACAGGAAGCATGTGCAGAGATTCTCTCTGTTTTCACTTACCGAGGACGGTTACTTGAGTTTTCTCAGAAATGCTATCAAGAGCAGTTTGAGCAGAACAGGAATAAATACCCTGATCTTCTACCGAGATGTTAGATATGGTCAGATTAGCTCCATCAATCACTATTCTGTTGGGGGCAGAGGGCAAACACAAAGTACATGGTGAATATCTCCAACAGCAGAAATACAGTCCTTTAGCAACACATGATGCAAGTTCCTTTAAGGTAAATGATTCCAGGCAGAGTGATGAAAACAGTTCATACAATGCAAATGTTACCAGAGAAGGTCACAGATGAAAACTGGGAATACAGTCTCACAGTATATACACATGACTACACAGTATTAAATGGAATCACATTTTAACAAATTACAAAATCCAACCCACAGGTTGTGATGGAAGTCTGGGCTGGCTGCCATGTTTAAGAAACATATCACACTAACACAGCTAGGATTTTGTGATTTTTGGTTTTCAGTTTTTAAAGACAGGTTTTCTCTGTGTAACCTCCCTGGTTCCCAGACTGTCCTGGAGCTCTCTCTTTACCAGGCTGGCCTGGAACTCACAGAGATCCACCTTGCCTCTGCCTCCCAAGTGTTGGTGTTTATATAATTATTATTATATGAGGGAATGTCATATAGAATCAATGAGGATGCTTCTGAAAAAAGAAGATTCTAGAACCCTACCCAGTTCCATAGAACCATAATATTATGATAGAATCACACAATATCTTTTTTTAAATTTTATAATTTAATTTAATTTTACATATTAGCCACGGATTGCCTTCTTCTCCCCACTCTGGCACTCCTCCCCTTTCCCATCTCCTCCAGGGCAAAGACTACCCTGGGGATTGAGTTCAACCTGGTAGATTCAGTCCAGGCAGGTCCAATCCCCTCCTCTCAGGCTGAGCCAAGTGTCCCCGTATAAGCCCCAGGTTCCAAACAGCCAATTAATGCACTGAGGACAATATCTTTTTTAATGTTTCCCTGTCCTCTACTTCCAAGATGTAATAATGGAAGCATTTAATGTATTTGAACACTAGGTGGCAGTCCTGTACTTCTTTCTGCAAATCATTTCAAGTAGCTTTTTAAAATTCATTTTTATGTATTTTGCTAGTTTGCAATAGTTTGTCATACAAAAGTCATTCTTTTATCATTTTTATTTTTTACTCTAGATGTATAGACGTATTATCAACATGAATTCTCATATTTTTTACATAAAGTACTATTAAATTTAAATTATATTCACAGTAATAGCTATTAGTTGAAAAATACTGTAAGCAATGGCTTTTTATGAAAAGGATGACAGCCTTACATAATTGAAACTTTTAATGTTAAATTAATAAACTGAAAAATTTTGAAGACTAGAAAACAAAACAAAACTGAATGATATGTGACTGACTTTGGCTGGAGGTAGTGCCCCTCGTTCTTACATCAGTTTGTATAATGAGAATTTGCCAGTCAGTACTACTAGTTGTTTGTGGGGAAGAATCCCACTATAATAAGTTAGGGGTCACAATTGAAACTAATGCCTTTGCAAAGAGAAATGGCATACATACATATACACAGATATTAAGACAATGAGGCCAAGGAAGTGGCAGCCAGGAAAGAAACCGACTAGAGAAATGATGAATGAATTGTCCAAAAAAGAATAGTGAACAATGATCTTTCTCTTATATTTTCTAAGACCATGAAATCTTAATTCACTATAATCGTATGCTCCAGATTTTTATTCCTTTCCATTGAGTCATGTTATAAATGTAGAGGTAGAAGGACATCTAGCAGATAGTGTGAGGGTACAAATCCCTTAAGGGCCAACGTTGAGATTTGAAAACCACTGAGTTTTAATCCATTTTTTTTTTTTAAACCAAGACTCTGCTGAGATCTCATCAAAAGAGAGCTTGGACTATTTCCAGACCTCTGAGTTACTATGTAACTTCAGATGAGATTTGACTTCAAAATGATAAATTCCTAGCTCTTACTCAAAGATAATAGAAGCTGAGGCAGAACTGACCTTTGTGCCATTTAACAGACAAAGCAGCCTTTCTCTTTTGATTCTACTGGATGCTACTGATCCCTTTATCTTTTTGTTGCCCTTAAACGCCAGTGATTCTCAACAGCCATTCAAACTTTCCTCTTTGTTCTATGTTCTGTGTTTCTCCTGTTCAGAATACTCAGAAATGCAGCTCCAGCATTTATACACATGAGCTCTCCATTCACAGATTCAACTGACTGTGGATGGACAATGTCTTTTAGACTTGCATCTGTACTCAACAGGTACACTTTTCTTGTTGTTATTCTCTAAATCACACTGTAGAGTAACTACTTGCTGAGCATTTCCACTGTATCGAGTATTAAAAATGCTGTAAATGTAACCTACATCATGAATAAAGGCACGAGATTCAAATAGAACACCCTTTTATAGAACACACTTGACCACACTGATTTTGGTATCTGCCTAGGATTCTGCAAGCTACTTCTAGAGATATAAGGGCCAGCTAATGCGGGCCATATGTTATAACAGGATAAGGGGTTTTATGGGCAAGAAGAACTTGTGTGAGACTGGCAGATAGAAGGGAATGGACACTGCCCTTCTAGGAAGCAGTGGGGACAATGGCTCTGGCAGACAATGGGGTAGCAACAGTTAACCTGTCCTGTAGCATCGGCGGGGGGGGGGGGGTGGGTGGGGGATGGGATGGGGGGCGGGGTGTCTGAGGAGGAGGCAAAAGTTTTCAAAAACCTGGACCACAGATGTACTGCCCATGAGCAAGAACCCCCCAAAACAGCAACATCTTCCTCTTTCAGTCTTCCCAATGATTTGGGAAGCCCCTAAACCTATGCAGCTAATCTGCATCTCACATCTGACTTCTCCTTCCTGCACTGAGAGGAGAAACCATGCTTCATAAAAATGAGCACAAGCAAGAAGAAGAACATATAAAATAAATAAAGCAGTTATTTTAAGACCTCCTGAATATTGATTTGAAGAATGAAACATTTGAATCAGTTTTTGTTCTTTAATGCAGTGTGAATAATTTGGGGACTGTTTTTTTTTTCCCCTAATGTGAGATCTTAAATTCATACGCACCAATGTCGTTCCCTAGCAGTGTACTTACCTGCCATCTTCTGTGCCATTCATTTCGAAAACCTCCCCATCTTTACTCCAGGACAACTTCAAACTGTGTTTCAAATGTGAGTCACACTGGCTTTCACAGTGTAGTTCAAGCACGTGTGATTTGGGGATTCGAGGGTTCTTTGGAGAAACTCTGAGCTTTGTAGCATCTGTATGTTTTTCAGTCAAACAAAGGTGAGTTAGAACTACAGAGCACAGTCCACTTTGTTATTCAATGTCTATAACCTTAAAATTTTCATGACGCTGTCAAATTTACATGCAATGTGTCACACTGTAACTTTCTAACATTAAACCTGAGAAAATTTAGGTGCAAGCACAAACTAACATTAGCATGATTTCTTACTATTCTTTGCTAAAGTAAATAACTAAATTGTGAGCTGACAAATATCTCTAGAGGTTGAAAACAACATAATTTCTCATTGTATATCATCCAGATATATAATCATGTTTTAAGGAAAATTGGAAAGTTAGTTGATTTTATATTAACATACTTATTATTAAGTCAGAAACACGAGCTGATATGGTGAAGCCCTAGCATAAATGTGCTATCCACACAAACATGGGGGATTAGACATAAGCCCTGCAAAAGGGAGACCAACACTTGTTTTCCTACTCAGAGGTACTCCCAGAGCTTAGGAGGGAGGACACTGTAAACATTGAATATTTACTTGTGGAGTTTCTTGCTGAATGAATGTGGGAGAATAATAATTCAGGATAAAAGCAATTGCTGCTATCAAAACCATGAAGCTAAAAGATTAAAAAAAATTAAAATAAAAATGTCAATGAAGCCTGAGTCTATCAGCAGCTTCCAAGGACTTCACTGAAGGGGAAAGTCTGGTTGATGCTCCTAGTTTAAAGAGAACAAAGAAAGCCTGTCCAAGCTGTCAGGCTGGATTTTTTTTTCTAGTATCACACTTCTATGATTTTGTTGAATGCTCAAACAAAACTGGTACTACCTCAAGTTCACTACTTGATTTAGTATAGATAAATAAACATAGAATTGAAACTACACCCAAATAAGCCAGGTGGTGGTGGTGCATGCCTTTAATCCCAGCACTAGGGAGGCAGAGCCAGTCGGATCTCTGTGAGTTCAAGGCCAGCCTGAACTACAGAGCAAGATCCAGGACAGGCACCAAAACTACAGGACAGGTTTCTTCATAGAAACCCTGTCTGGGGGGTGGGGGAGAAAATATACCCAAATAGTAATTTCTTAAGATATAGATGCTCATCTACCACTAACAATCTAACAATACACAGTGACCTGATAAGATGGCCCCAATCCATGGATATCACATCCTGCCATACTACCAGTAGTCTTTCAGATGAAATACAATGGAGGGCTTTTGAGAAATGATCAAAGGACCTTCAACAGGTACTCAAAATGACACTGTTTTCTCTGAGAAAACAGAGAGAAACCAAAGCCATGTGAGAACCCATGAAAGCAAAGGCAAAATAACAATACTTCTAATATCCAAGTTGGCTGTGATGACGGCTTTTCCCATTGCATTGTCTACCCAACAAGAGTATGATCCCGCATCTTCCTCAGTAGTTCTGTAGATCTCCAGTGTGCCATTTTCATGGGTATGGTACCGATGACCTTCAAGGGGATGTGCTTCATCAGCCACTTCCCTGTGGAGATGCAGAAACGAGTCATTTTGGATTAGGACACACAATTCTGTACCCTTCAGATACTGGTCACTGATGTTATCTAGGCTCACACCTTCTTTGGGTGCTTGGTAGACCATCTTAAATCTTTTTGTAGCAACTAATTTCTCTCCTAGAACTGTCCAGGATGTAAATCAGGGCTGACCAACAGACTGTGGCTAAAAAGAACCCAATTCCCTCTTTGGACAGTTGCCTCTGCCTGCCTCATAGATTCCAGCACTGCTTTACATATGTCCTAAAGCTTAATAAATATTTTCTGGCTTATTTATGGTGAAGCCTTTAGTTAATGATTGCTCCAGGCTAGCAAATGGGAAAGCTAGTAATTGAAACAGATAATGAACCTTCCCAACCTCCCACTGTCCTAGGAGAACATTGGTCATTCAGAAATATTATAAGCCAGGAAGTCTTGCCTCTCCCGTGGACATGCATTACATTTACCCTATCAACCTCAGGCTCATTTTCTCCCCCATTCATCCATTCTCCAAGCATTTCTTGTCACAGCTTGATTAACCCTGTGCATTTCACAGTAAGTGATTGCTTGTGCTCACAGTTGCAGAGGACAAGTGGGCCACCGGCACAGGTTTTACAAAGTGAGGGCTAGGTTGAGAGGCCCGCAGGACTTGCCTCAGATGCAAAATGTAAAAGCATTTTCAAAAATCAAGGTAAGCAATATTTTAATCAAATATTCCTAAAGGTCAAAACCAAAAAGAAAAACATCACAGTTGACTTAGACAAGATGCGACTCTGATTTTTGCATAGCCTGACCTCACTTCTTTCACTCTAGGCCCTGGAGAGGAATAACACAATAATGTCACAGTAAAGTAATCAAACTTTATCAGTAAAGCAACTAACACGGTATACGCTTATGGTGATAAGTTTAAACTTAACATTATTATTAAAATCAAAATGAACGTTAGCAAAGTCTTCAGTGTGTAATTGGCTGTATGTTAAGATAAACAAGCAGACAGCCCAGAGGCCATAACAACCCTTAGGTAGTCCCATCACAGACAAAATAAATCCATCTTTAAAATTGTCTTAGGAATCATTTTAATTCTCTGCTTTATGAACACAATTGACTCTGTATATTTCTTCATGTTAAAAAAAAAAAAAAAAGAATCCCAGAATCCGAGTCAATGTTTTCAGGAGGGATGAGTAATCAAAATTTGCTTCCTTATTTTTCAGAGGCATTGACTCTCTGTAGCGGCACAGACACAGTGCAGGCTGCCAAATGGTGGCTCAAGGGTCCCCAACACCCATTCCCTTAATGGAGCAGCAAGTCATCTTACCAGATTACTGTGGCCTTGGGTGAAGCAAAGTACTCGCAATGCAGGAAGGCACTATATCCAACTACCGTCGCATAATTTTCTTCATTCTTTGTTTGTATCAGTGGGACAACATCTGGTCAGAAATAAAGATAAGGTTTTAAACCTTTCTGCCTGAGGTTGTCCTCTGGCCTCCACCTGAACACAAACATGTATATTCCCACACCGAACTTAACACACATCCCCAAATCAAGCTGGTACTTGTGACTATAACTTTGAGCTTTTTCCTTAGGCAAATAGCAGGTGAAGTCAGGACTCAGGTCTGCTCACCTACAACGTCAATATTGGCACTGGCAAGGATGGTCCCATGGATATTTGAGGCTTCACATTGATACACAGCAGTATGGTTTGGTTGTAGATTTGTAAAACTGATTTCCCTGGGGAACATAACGTCACCAGGAAATGGATGATCTGAAAGAGAAGAGAGAATTTCAGTATGATAAAGAACAGAATATAAAATATTTATGAACCATTTATTAAATGTGTCACACAGAATCTATATTTGAAGACCAGTTTAGGGTGAAAAATAGTTCACTGAAGTCACATCTTTACAGTTTGCTCAAATCAACATGGGTGCTTTTTCAGACCCTTTTGCATTTGCAACATCTTTTCAAATTACGTTTTCAAATAAATATTATGAGAACCCATGCTGCCCTACAGCTCAATGTCTCTTTGTATACCTGCTGATGATAAGACTGGAGGTGACCTGTTTGACATCTGAGTCCTACTGTGAGGGAACTCATACTTCAGCATCTGCATCTAGATGTCACCAGTGCATAGCAACACAATAGAGCCTAACTGGCCCTGGTTTCTCTCTTGACAACATTTTCTCCCTTCCTACTATTTTTGGATTTATTCCATTATTTTGTGTGATTTACATTATCATTTAGCCAATTCAAGTATGTAGCTCACAACTCTTAATCCTTTCTCCTTCCCTCCTTCCTTCCTCTTCACCCCCTTCATCTTTTTGAGAGTAGTTGCCATGTCTACAACTTTTTAGGAATAAAATCTACACTACTTTCTATAACGATCTCCTTTTTACTCTGAAGTTACTAGAGGGTATTTACTTATATCTGAAGATTTGGAGTTAGGAACCAGAGATGAGAAAGAACATGTGGAGTTTATCTTTCTTGGTCTGAGCTGCTGCACTAAATATTATATACTCTAGTTATATCTATTTATCCCCAAATTTCATGTTTCATTTTTCTTTACAGATGAATAGTGTTCCTTGGTATATATGTACCATATTTACATCATCCATTTATCAGTTGAAGTACATTTAGTTTGTTTCCATTTCTTATCTATTTGTGAATAGAGGTCAGTCCTAGAAACATGTTCATTCAGAGAGCACTGAATAGATTCAATATCTTGTATTTATATGTTTGTTCTTATGTGTGTGTGTGTGTGTGTGTGTGTGTGTGTGTGTGTGTGTGTCTATGAGTGTGTCTCCTTCTGTGTTGAGTAACACTAATGACAAAAGAACAATAATGACTAGAGCAGCTGTGAATTTAAGAGGGAAGGTCCAACAAAAAATTAGAAGGAAATGATGCAATTACATTTTAAATGAATTTTAAAAACACATTAAAACACAGTACTATTGATTAAAAATATACTTATCTGTTGGAAATTAGAGTACCTAACACTTTTGTGGGCTTATTAAGAGCCACAGAATCCCACTGGGTATAGCCAATGTGTTATTACATTGTTTCTGCTTAGAACCTATTATATCAGCATTTACAAGGCTTTGTAAGCATCACTTTTTTTTTTGTTTTTCGAGACAGGGTTTCTCTGTGTAGCTTTGTGCCTTTCCTGGAACTCGCTTTGGAGACCAGGCTGGCCTCAACCTCACAGAGATCCACCTGCCTCTGCCTCCAGAGTGCTGGGATTAAAGGCGAGCGACACCACCGTAAGCATCACTTTTAGAGAAAATGAACATCTTAAAGCATCTGGCAACAAGTTGGGCTCTAAATAGTCCCTTGTCTTGACACACAAGAAATGAAGAAAAATGTTTTGTGCTAGAATTTTTGAGCAAGGGACAACGATTGAAGAAATTTTAGTTTAAATGACAACAATAAATATTTTCTTTCTCCTTGTATTTCCATCATACAAAATAACAATTACATTAAACTTCATGCAGTGGGAAACAAGAACTGCTACATATTGGGAGACTGTTTTATACATTTTTTTTCTCACTAGAACCATAATGTATGCGTTTCTTCAGTCAGCTGAGATGCCTGTATCCATGCAGATGTATAGTGTGTTACTAACACCTAAAGAGCAAGCATAACAAAGCAGTGTGTAAATATTTGTGGAAACATCTGAAATAAATACAAAGGATGACATCTTATTCATGAAAGTTCCCTATCAGTAGACAGAAATATAGGTTCTGATGTTCACTCACAGAACTATGACAATGTGCCTCAACAACAACAACAAAACCACCCAGGTGTGAATAAGGCTGAGGACTTTGAGATTGAGGAGTTATGCTACTATTCAGGTGGGCCCGGTATGACTACATTGCTTCTTGAAAATCAGAAACTCTTGTCTGGCTATAAAATCAGAAAGGGTTGGGCATGAGAAAATGTCCATGGTGACAAGGATGTCAACTATGAAGATGGAGGAAGAGAGCCATGGGTGAAGAATATAGGCAGCCTGTCATAACTGAAAAGGAAATGGATGCAGAAATAAAGAATGAGACAGGGTAAAAAGGAAGAGAGAAAGTGAGAGAGATACTTGGATTTCCTTGCAGAGAGTCTTATATTGACCTCTTAACTTTCAGAATTATACAACAGAAAAATTGTACTGGTTCAAGAGACCAAACTTCTGAGAATTTGTTATAGCACCATCAGAAAGCTAATATCAACATTTGAGGCAATTTATCAGCTACCTCTTCAGGATTAACAAGGTAGATAGCCTTTCTAAATTCTGTATGACAGAAATCGTAAAAGGACACCATGAGGGATTATGTCTCTGATCTCTTCCTTTATTCCTCTACTATTACACAGTCTGGCAGAGCTAATCTTGTCACCCCATGTTTTGCCTTATATCACAGGCTCCAAGGGCAGCTTTGAATCAATACAGTATTGTAAAAGAAGAATTAACACCAAATCCTCATGTTTGGATGAAAAACAACTAACTCTGACTTATCTCTCCTTCTGGAAATGTGTTTGGAGACTTCACAATATACTACACATTGTAAAAACATAATTATTCTAAAGAAAACATAACTTTCAATAGTATCTATCAAACTATCCTAGTCCTGACATAATCCCAGGATTCTTTCTAGATGATTCTCTCTCATAAAGTCAATGAGAACAAGACAATATGGTTGGAGATCCCTGCACTCAAATTCACTTTTTTCTAGGCTCCATTCTAGCCATGAATTTACTTGTATTGTGTCCTCAAGTAAATACTGTAATTCTCATGAGCCTTGGCCATTGCCTCTGAAAAGTGAAGAATAAAGAGATCCGTTTTTCCAAGGTTTTCTCAGAAATACTGGATGCCATATCTGTGGGAAAGTTTACAACAACTGTATTCATTTGGCTTAAGTCGGAAATAAGACTCATAAGGAATATGTTTTTCCAAAAGTATAAGTCTAAAGAGATTTCAAATCCTTCTGTCAGACTGACTGTCATCCCACAGCAGCCTTGTTGCATGTGATAGAAAAAATCTGTGCTCAAGAGCTGTGGTAAGAGCACAGCTTGTAGTTCAACACTGGTTTCTGTGGTGATATGCTGTGTACTCTAATAAACTTGCCTGGGGATCAGAGGACAGAGCCAGCCACTAGATTAGACATAGAGGCCAGACAGTAGTGGCACACACCTTTAACCTCAGTACTGGGAAACACACATGCCTTTAATCCCAGAAAGTGACATCAGGGTGGAGAAAGGTATATAAGGTGTGAGGAAACAGGAACTAAGGCAGTTCAGCTGAGATCCATTCAAGTGAGGATTCAGAGGATTTCAGTTACAAGATTCGTGGAGTTGGTGAGGTAATAGGTGGCAGTTGTGGCTTGCTCTGCTTCTCTGATCTTTCTGCTTTCACCCCAATATCTGGCTCCAGATTTTTAATTAAAAGACCATCTAAGATTCGAACAACAGGTTTCAGTACCTCACATGTCACCTGTGAACACAGCTCATATCATCCACCAAGCAAATCCATTGTCTCTACTTTGGAAATATCCACTACCTGACCACTCTGACAAATGTCTAGCCCGAGGCCTCAGTATCTTTCAATCACCCTTTTGCAATCATAGAGCTAAAGACTGCATTCAGAGACCAGAAAACTCCTTTAAACATAAATTACAAGGGCTGATATATAGCCCAGTAGTGCAGCACTTGCCTGGCATGTGGGAGGAAGCTTAGTTCAAACTCTAGTACTTCACAAACAAACAAAACATAACATTCCTCACTCAAAATTGTCTAATCAAAACTCTATGACTGCCCATCTGTCATCAATCAAACCCCAAGACCCTAATTGGGACTTCTCATCTTCTACACTCCGATGCCTTCATTTACTGAATGATTTCACCAGATAACAATGACCCTTCCTCATGCCCCAAGCTTAAGCCACACTGGGTTATTTTCTTTTCCTTCTCCAGACACACATGCCTGGGGAGTCTTTTCATTTACTCACCTCTCTACTCCAAATGCACTCAGACAGTAGATGGCAGCTGCCTTCCTTACCCTCTTCATTTCTCAAAGTATGTGTACTTTTATCATCATAAAGCTACCTTGCATTTGAACTTTACACTCTCCTTGGGACTTAGCTATTTTCTATGTACAAATTTCTCAACAACATGACCTCTTCTGATTTTCTGTCTTCTTTAATCTTTTTATAACCCATTGAATTCAATTAGTGCTATCTGTATTTACATGGGTGGGGGCTATTCACTAGAGCATAGGCAACCTACCAGTGGCCATACGCCAAAAGAAAAGTGTCTCCTCTTCATCAACATCCATCAAATGCCAATAACTCTTCAGCTAGAGGGGATGCCTCATAAATCCCACACACTCACCCATGCTAGAGTTTTGACTGACAGGTCTCATATAGTTACTAACATGTGCTGTGAGTTCATGGGGACAATGGCTGGTTCATGTCGAGAAGAGATCATTTCATAGCACTCCTCTCATTCTGTATCTCTTACATTCTTCAGTTTGCTCTTCTGTAATAGTCCATGGACCACAGAAGGGCTAAGGACACCAATTATCTTCAACACTTCATCCAGTTATAGGTCTCTTTATTAACCACTCTCTACTACAAACAGAAACTTCTCTGACCATGCCAGAAAACAGCCCTAATCTGGAGGTTTCAAAACCTGGCTGCCTGGGGACCCACCCCTAAAGCTCTTCAGTATCAGGACAGGGATCCAAGCAGCAGGGATTGACTCCCTCACCCTCCTGTATCTACCTCTCAGGGTTGCTGTTTTGTGCCCGATCCTGTGCAAAACATTCTTTGAGTGGTGTTTTCTTCAAGCCACGTAACAGACCCACAAGCCACTGCTATTTTCATCTCCATTTAGTTTATGAAGAAATAGGTTTTAGGAGGGTAAGTCATATTCTTAGTCACACAGCCAGTCAATGATAGGATGGCCATGTAAACACAAGAAGTATGGTTCCAGAGTTCATAAACCACGAGAGACCTCTGCAGATAAATCATGACCTTAGCTAGCTGACTTATTCATCTCCTTCAGACACTACCACTGCTTCCATTCGGTAGCTTGAGGAACTTAAGCTTAGATAATTCATTGATCAGCTGGAGGCTACAGAACTGGGAAGGGCCACAGCCCAGGGAGGACTTAGGTTTGTGAAGCACAAGGAGGCCTGCCTAGTATGGGGAAACAGGGCAAAGGAATAAATCGGAGCCATATACCTGCACTCACTACTCTTTTTCTCCATGAAGCTAACCAGAACATAACGCATTACATAGGTTCTGTCCTGCGTGAACAAATACCTTCAGAATAGCCTCAGCTCTGGGCACAGATTAAAAGCTTAGGGGCTTAGAGGCTGATGCAATGAGGACACTGCACCCTTAGTCCTGCTCCATTTCCATCTTTCCATGGCCACCCAATGTGGACAAGACTCCAGGGGATTTTCTAACGTGTCATCAGCAGTTCGGGAGCAGTTGTGTCATGTACTTTAAGGCTTCACATGCTTCCTGGCCACAACAGGGAGGCAATGTCTGACCAAAGGATATTCACAGTAGGGGCAGAGCCCAGGATAGGGAATATTGCATGGGTGCAAGAAGATCTAACTTCCAACTTATGCTTTCATCTACTAGGCTACTCTATCATTCCTTCTCATGGGCAGGAACACGTTTTGGTTTGTGTTAGTCCTTTTCCTGATTCAGTCATTGGGTCATTACTTATAATATATATATATATATTATATATATTACATATATATACATATATTATATATATATATATGTATATATAGTGTGTGTGCATAAACACTATCCATGCCTCTTCCGCTGTGTTGGTTCCCATCAATCAAATTGCTCATAAAGAAGAACTTGTTGATTTTCTGGCAATGTATTATTGTAATACAGCCCCACCCAGTCTACCTTAATACATCTCCAAACTGTCTGATGGTATACTATGCCATCCAATTGCTGCCTTCCCCACCCTTTAGCTCTCAGGGTTTTTGCTTTTAGTTTGTTTTTAACTCACTTTCAATTGGGAAGCCATTGACTTTCCATTTGATTGTGGGTTGAGGTTCTCCTTCCGCTTCACACAACAAGATGCCGTTGCTCCCCGTGCTGTACACTGCACTCTGAGGTTTCTTTTTCCAGCGTGGAGGCTCTGAACACAAAACAAAGAGATTTTCAGAAAGTGTATCCATAGCAAAAGATTCCATCTCTGTAACAGGCCTGCATTTCTACCATATACCAGCAGAGGGCAGACACCACAAAGCATTCCATAGCAACTCCTTTGGTTAGGTTCTGCAAAGTAAGGTGGACGTACTGTGTGTGTGTGTATATAAATCAACATACTAAAAATACACAGCCGCTTTAGCTACTCAAGTATACATTTCACTAACGGAAGCATGAGGGAGGACTAAGCAGATGGTGACTCATTTAGGGATGGCTACTGTTTCTACTCAAGCTGCAACAAAGTAGCTGGAAATGTTGATATGCAAGAAATAGACTTGAAGAGCTTTTTAAATAACAGTCAAATCTGCAAAATCTTGTTCCTTGATTATTGACTGTAGCATTTACATATCCTATCTATACCAATTTCCATAACTTATCAAATTGGAAAACATAATTTTCAAGAGATGTTCTCCTTGCAATGGGTCAGGGAGGGAACCCGAGAAGAACATTTGATTTTTTTTTTTTTTGCTTTTGAAACAAGCAGGAAAAACAGAAATAAATGATCTCTATCTTTTTATACATAAAACTTCAAATGTGTAACTCTAATTGGAGTATTAGAACAAAGCAAGACAAGTTCTTCAGTTTAAACATTACTGTCATACTTTGTCAACATCAGAGTAGCACTATGTCAACAGTGAATACAAGACTTGAGGTGAGCATGGATATTATTACTACTACTACTACTACTACTACTACTACTACTACTACTACTACTACTATTGGTGTTCTGCCTGTATATATGCTATTATCAGTTTCTTGGATGCCTGGTGCCTGTAGAGGCATCATACCCCCCCTTAGCTGGAGTTACAGACAGTTGTAAGCTACCATGTTGATGCAGGGACCTAAACTGGGGACCTATGAAAGAAAAGCCAGTGCTCTTAACCACAGAACCATTGCTCCAGACCTACTTGCATGGTTGATGATTATTCTCAGAAGTAGTTTAATAAAACTTTGAAGTAGTAATTCCCATCAACTTTAGCTTAGTCATTTTCCTCCGAAAACTATGGATTTCTGTCTTGATTCAATGAGGAAAATTTTTTAAAGATATGTACATGTATACAGAGAAAATATCTTTTAAATGGTTTTAGTAAAGGAAGGAAAGTATATTATACAGGAAAAAATCCAAATTCATCAAAAAGAAACCACACACACACACACACACACACACACACACACACACACACACACGTAATTCTGGCTTCTGGCAAGTCTCTGTAAGCAAGAGACATGCCTTTAGAGTCTTCTACAAGATGTGGGCTCAGTTGTTAATTTTGATGTTAAACACCTGTGTTTAACAGACTAATCTAAAAATATTGAGGTACTTAGCATAAAGTACAATGGTCTAAATTAGAACTGTAGATCACTTTCTGAAGGGAAGAGTGCCTTTATGACATTATTATTTTAATTATTTATTTTTATTTGTATGTGGGATGTTTGTGTCCTTTCCTTTTAAACATCCCCTCCCCATCTTCCTTTTTTTTTTCATTTTTCTTTATTAAGAAATTTTCTACTCACTCCACATGCTATCCACAGATCCCCCCTCCTCCCTCCTCCCACCCCCAGACCTCTTTCCCAAGCCACCCCGCAACCCCACATCCCCCAAATCGAAGTCTCCCATGGGGAGTCAGCAGAGCCCAGCACACTGAGCCTAGGCAGGCCCAAGCCCCTTTCCACTGCACCAAGACTGTGCAAGGTGTCACATCACAGTCACCGGATCCCAGAAGCCTGCCCATAGACCAGCAACAGATCCTGATCTCCCTGCCTTGGTGCCCCCACACAGTTTGAGCCAAACAACGGTCTTCCGTGTCCAGAGGACCTAGTCCAGTCCCATGGGGGCTCCACAGCCACCAGTCCACAGTTCATGGGCTTCCACTAGTGTGGCTAGTCATCTCTGCACATCCTCCCATCATGATCTCGATGTCCCTCGCCTGCAATATCTCTCCTCTCTCTCATCAATTGGATTCCCGGAGCTCAGTCTGGTGCCTTGCCATGGATCTCTGTATCTGCCTCCATCTGTCACTGGACAAAGGCTCTATGATGACAGCTAGGTTATTTGCTAGGCTGGTCACCAGAGTAGACTGGTCCAGGCACCCTCTGGACCACTGCCAGCAGACCAAGGTGGCGTCAACCTTGAGAGGGCTGATCTCCAAAATATATAAAGAACTCAAAAAGCTATACATCAAAATATTGAACAATCCAATTTAAAAATGGGCTACTGAGCTTAACAGAATTCTCAGCAGAAGAATCTGAAATGGCTGACAGGCATTTAAGGAATTGCTCAACATACTTAGTCATCAGGGAAATGCAAATCAAAACAACTCTGAGATACCATCTTACACCTGTCAGAATGGCTAAGATCAAAAACACTGAAGACAGCTTATGTTGGAGAGGATGTGGAGAAAGGGGCCCACTTGGTCTTCTTATATAACCATAACAAAATTCAACTTGTAAAAGTTACAGTGAAAGCCCAATGAACATGCAAACCATTGTGTTCATAAGTAGGTACTATGACTTCTCCTTTCCAAGTGTGTAAAAATAATGATCCTCTCATGAAAATATTCTTTCATTCCCCTTGTATAATAAAAATCAATTTTTCAATCACTATCAGCCCAAGAATTGCATTAACCTTTGTGTGTATGTAAAGATATATTACTGTTAGGATCAAATGAAGAAGTGAGGTATCACTTCATCTAACCTTTGACCCTATGGAAATAATATTGAGCTTTGGAGAATTCATCTATTTTTTTTCAGGGTTATCAGTGAAAGAATCCTCATTTCCTGTCCCTGCCACTCTACAGATCTCAGAACAGAGCCTTTGGGGAATGAACAGAAAGATGTAAAGGTGTGGAGGCTGTTCCTTACCCACTGACATTTTACAAAAGAAACTAGGAATCAAGGAAAGTTCAGTTGTCCAGCTGAGTCTTTGCATTGAGTCTTTTCATTTCCAGCATCCCCCACCCCCATATCTATCAACTGACTCATGAGGTCTCAAACATTTGAGAGTTGGTTAGAATCATCATTATACATCAGCCTGGCCCTTCTTCCTAGGCTTTAAGAACTCTCCCACATTTCTGTAGATGCTTCTTTCCCTTTTTTCCCCCCTTAAGCTTCTGATTCTAACATTGATATTGACATGAAACTTGAAAGAGACTTAAAACTTGGCTATGACTTCATTACATTCAGCCCAGGCTGAGACTCTCACTGTTGACTTCATTAATTGAATATTCAGTAGTTCAATACTGAAGTCTGCACTGAGTGTCCTTAGATTAGTGATCTCTGGAGATCCAGGGTTGAAGCCTGTTGTTTTATTTCTTCCTGGTTTGGCACACTGGCTCAGAATAGATGTATAGCATAGCTTTTATACAGAACTTTATAAATATCTAAAAACTTCAGTGGAAAAGACATTAAAAAAAAACAAACCTAAAGCATCTTGGATGGAAAATAATACATGCTGTCTGGTCATTCTCTTTCTTACAACATAAATTTAATGAACATATTGTTTAACTGATACTTGGCTCACAAAAGACATTATTGTCAGCCTGTGGACAGTAGCTTGATGAGAAACTCAGGGTGGCTGAGATGCAAGGCCACAAAGTCAGCAGAAGTTTAGGGAAACTCACATCACACATCTGTGTGATGGGTAAGATCTAGTCAAGGAGATTACAGAGAGACTAAAGATAAAGGAAATGATGGGGAAACCGGAAAGTGTAGAAGAAGCCACAGGGTCCCATTCTTTTATCTGCATGCTTAAGGTATGTGGTAGCTGATAAAAAGTTCATCCAAATTTTGTATGTTCATGGACTCTGGACTGACAGCTGGGGAACCTGCACAGGACTGAACTAGGCCCTCTGAATGTAGGTGAAGTTATGTGGCTTGGGTAATTTGTGGGGCTCCTGGCAGTGTGACCAGGATTAATCTCTAGTGCACGAACTGGCTTTTTGGAGCCCATTCCCTATGGAGGGATAGCTTGCTCAGCCTTGATGCAGTGGGGATGGACTTGCTCCTGCCTCAACTTGACATGCCAGACTTTGTTGACTCCCCATGGGAGGCCATACCTACTCTGAGGAGTGGATGGGGGGTGGGGTAGAGGTGAGGTATGGGGGAGGGGGAGGAGAGGAGGTAGGGGGAACTGTGGTTGGTATGTAGGATGAAAAAAAAAAGTTCACCCAATTAGTCATAATGGTCAGCAAAATGCAAGATGATAAATTCAATTTATGCTGTCCCACACAGAGATGTCAGTGCATGAATTCTGACTTAATAAGAATGCTAATAATGTTTATCAAGAGACCAAAACCCAAGCACAACTGGAAATTTGATATCTGTGAAACATGTAACAAAGTAGACATTTTCTTAGTAAAACATTGTTTTTAATCACAGGTGTCTACTTAGTATTTGTATTCTTGATTTTTGTGAGACAATGTCTCATGTATAGCAGGTAGGCCTCTGTTTGGTATGTAGCTAAGGATGACCTTTAACTGTGGATTCTCTTGCCTCCACCTCCCATGTGCTAGGAATACAGGAAGGCACCACCAGACCCAGTTTATGTGTGCTAGGGATTGAACCAGGGGCTTTGTATTCATTAGGTAAGCATTCTACCAACTTCTTAGGAAAAAAAGTTATTAATTCAAAACAAGCTATTGTCCATGGTATCAATGATTGGACTGAATTTCAGTTCATGGCATCCTTTAGGTACCGCAGGGTACTATGGATAGAATTAAGGATTGCATAGATGTGCAAAAATGATTGATATTATATTTCTAAAATTCAGCAACCTGAAATGATTCCAAAGTGGACAATATTCAATTTTTTGGTGAGGTATTTTCTTTTACATTATCAGTTTAATTGTGATTGATATTCTGATGTCTGGAATTTTGTTTTATGTGACATTCGTATGTATCTGTTTTCTTTATTATTATGATTTGAGTGTGTGTCCACACCACAGTGTACCTGTGGCAGATAACTTTATAGGGTCACTTCTCTACTTTCATCTTTATGTAGATTCCAGAGATCGAATTCAGGTTTGCTGCAAGCCCCTTTACCCACTGGGCCATTTCACTGGTCCTTACTATACCTCTTAGTACTGCATATATAATAATCCATATTGTAGGTGCCCAGAAAATATGGTTACATCTAATTAAGACATCACATCTGGTTTTCTCATGCAAAATAAGGCATTTGACTTGCAATCTGGTCACATATTTAGGCTGCTGTAGTTTAAAGTATAAGCTCATGAAATTTGAGTTTCAGAATAGGGAAGAAAATTACAAACAGCAAAGAAAACAAACTATGCTTCTGCATAGCCACACAAGATATTTTCATAATGGACTAGACATGGTAATACTGTTTTTCCCCCATATGACTGATTTAATTTGGGTTTCTAAATGAAAGAATGAAAAGAAAGAGAAAGACATAGGAGACAAAAGAAAATGTAACAAAGATGAACTCATCTCTCTTGATGATTAGTAAATTTTAGTTACTGTTTTCTCATTTTAGGGAGGAAAACACTTCTTGAATGTATTTCTTGAAGACAGTCCACTGTTCCCTTGCAGGTGTAAGGAGAAGCTGAAACATGCTTCTAAGTGTACCCTTAGCATTTTCTCACAAAAGAGAAATGATAAAAACAATATTTACACCTCCGCATCACTAATGCCTGTTTTACAAATAGTAAAGATAATTTGTTCAAGGAACCTATATCCCTTTGGAATCCTATAGTCAACATTTTAAGTTGTATAATTAATTTTACTTGTATAATATTTTTTGCAACATTTGCAATTCTTTTGAAAGCTTTGGTCTTAATAGTCAAGAAAACCGAGGCCAGATTGTTAAAATATTCAGCTACCGTAGCAACGCAGCAGCCATCTGGAAGGATTTCTAACAGTCAGCAACTCGGAGTAGAAGCGGCTAATAATTATGTATGTCTGGTTTGAAAGAGAGGGGGGGGGAGACAGAGAGAGAGAGAGAGAGAGAGAGAGAGAGAGAGAGAGAGAGAGAGAGAGAGAGAGAGCGCGCCTGAGTTGGGCTAGGAGCTAGAGAAAATATCCCCACCACAAGATATAGCCAACATTATATACAAGTATCAGATAATGTCTAAAATTAGAGACATGTCTTTCATACTTTTTCTCTGAGTGTCTTTTTGAATAATTTATTGTTGGAGGAATCCATTATTATTGCCAGATATTGATATTAAAGTCTAACACTGAGTTCTCTCCAAATAGGTTTTGCTTTGTTGAACCAAAGAAAATTAATTGCCCTTTGTTTATTTTCTGTTCTCACCTTAACTAAGAAAATAGTATAGAAGGGGTTGGGAAATTGTGTTAGTCCAAACAGAAGCATGACTCAGTCAATTACTGTAACATTTACTTGTGAGTAAAATTTGTGCCTTGTTTCTTTTCTTTTCCAGTAATTATGGAGGAAATGCCATTACTGAAGTGCCCTTTGCACAAACTGAAGCTTTAAAAGATGAACTTTATCAGAATATTAAAGGAGACCCTATAGCTCCTGTTCAGGAACCGATAGCCTGGGAGGGATGATTCTCTTCCATAGTTAAGGCAACAGAGCACTAAGTAAGTACAAATGTACTATGTAGAGACTACTCCCTTCTTCTGATTGACACAGATAAGTAAACCACAGAGAGAAAGACTAGGTGTGACTCAACCCACGGGAAGCAGTCTGTGTCAATCAAATCCCAACAGGATCAGGCAACCTCCGCACCTGCACTACAGGCACAGCTCTGATTTCTAATTCTGTGGCTGCTACTTCACGAGAGTGATGTCATCATCACCTACTTATTCTTAATTACAACAAATGACAGAAAATCTTAATTGTTCAAAAAAAAAAAACAGTTCAGTTTGTATGGGCAGGAGATGAAAGTCATGTATTTTGGTACCATTTGATAAAAAATAATATTTGTACCACATTTCTCTCCTCATAGTTCACTGTAAGAAACATACTGAATGCAGGGTACAGAACAAAAATGCTGGAGTAAGATAATCCATCTGACTCCATCATTTCTTTGACAAAGAACCTGAGGAATAGAAAAATGAAGCCCAGTGATCATGGACAAAGGAGCTGAGTGACAAGATGAGGAGGCACTCCAAACCTCCTTCCAGGGTCCTTGCAATAATGTTTAATTTAATGATCATGACCTCATTTATGAGCATCATGCGTACGTTATAATAAAAATCACTTCATGCAATAAAACCTTACTGGAGGGTAGGTTTAATGACTATTTAAACAGACGCTGGAAATGGTGTATGTTCAACCCCTAACATGCGCTCTCGTCTTGACATTTGTGCCTTCCATATGGTTTGGGGAAATAAATTACAAGCCTGATTAATTAAGTATAGTGTTACTCAGTGACCACACTACACCCAAAACACTAAACTAATGATCAACTTTGACACATACACTGTTGAAGCAAAGGTCTGTGAATTGTATACACTTATTTTTCTCTTTGAAGCATAAATTTAAATCTTAATGGGGAACATACCTTGTACTATGATATGAAAATCATGACTGGCTTTTCCCAACAAATTGTTAGCTGTACAGCGATAATTTCCTTTGTCATGGTAGGAGATATTTTCTATCTTCAACGTCTTTCCATGATTTTCTTTTGTTTCTCTTCCCTTTGGTAATTCACTACCCAGTTTGCTCCACTCAATCTGTGGAGTTGGTCTGCAAAAAGTATGATGAATACATAGATAAATAAATACCAACCACAAACAATCCCTCATGGAACATCTATTACCATGTTGCCTTACATAGTCATTGAGTTTTAGCAGCCTTAACAATGGACACATCACCATGGGAAGCATAGTGTTGAACAAGCATATTTCATCAGGAGCTCCTTTAATGGTCTACTCCCTAGGAATCTTGTCCCCTCTATTAAGTGAGCTAACTTCACAAGAGTGCAAGATCAATGAAGCTGGATGCAAGATGAATAACTGAAGTCCAAATAAATAATATTACAAGATGTTTCTCAACTGTGAAATTCTCCCTATGGTCAGGGATCAACAGATCCCCTTCCCTGTGTGAGTTTCAACAACACGACACAGTAGTCTCCAACAGCCAGCAGAGGAAAACCACAATTTCCGTTGAATCCTAATGAAGCCAATTTTGGCTAAAGTGGCCTGGGAATGGAGCCAAGTATGTGGGCTGGACGTAGGAGCAGTTCTTTCATTCTAGGCAGCTTGGAGCTCCCAGCATAGACCTTGCTTTCCTGCTCTGTTGGGAGCAGAGGGAAGAAGACTCCTGTTCCTACTCAGAATCTCCCTAATTTAATTCAGGAGCATGAGAGAGATGGGCACACAAGATCAAAATGAACAAAAGCCAAACAAAAGGCAGGGCTAATACCTTTTTTCAACTTGCAATGAAGGAAAACAGGAGCATGAGCCAAGCCAAATGGTTTGTGGAAAAATCTCTTCTAAAAATGAGGGTGAAAAAATGACATCCTATGACACTTGACTTTATAATGTCACTGATAACCAACTCTAAGTGGGCATAACTTTGCTTTTTCCTCCTACAAGATTGGAAAACACGTAATTCTGTTATTTACCATATTCCTGGTTACTAGTTACTATTCTGAGAACTATCTGAGAGTGAGCTATCTTACTGTTATAATTTTGCCAGTGTCAAATTCAAGCTTCAAGAAGCTAATTAAATAACACATTGATTCAAAACTTAACATTTTCCTTAGTTGTTTCTATTTGATTTCTGCTTTTCAAAGGAATCCATCCTTCCTAACATATGCTTGTGGTCAAACTATCCATCGGGAACCAACTAAATAATTTTCAAGATTTATTTATTATAATTTTATGCTTATGAGTGTTTTGTCTGCATGCATATATGTGCAATACATGCACATCTGGTGCCAATGGGGGCCAAATAAGGCTTTAGGTCCCCTAGAAGTGGAGTTACAGATGATTGTGAATGACCATGTGAGTTCTGGGAACTGAATCAGGTCATCTGTAAGTGATCTTAACTACTGAACTATTTTCTCTAGCCCCAATAATTAAATTATTGTCTCAAATTGTTTATTTCAGTTATTTCAAAATACCTATTCATAAAGAAAATGGATAAAATAGCTCAATTATTAGGAAATACTATATTGAAGTTAAAGATGAGGTCTTTTTACAAACATCTGTTATTTTCTCTCAAGGCCAAAGGAATTAACCTCACAGATTTGAAACAACAACCTGCTTTTTGACCAAGCCCAGAGTACATGGCAGACTTCCTCAGGAAATGATCATTGCAGACAGATAGACACATGTGGGAGTATATTGATTAGCTGTTGAATTCTAGAGAACATGCCACCAAGCAGTACTTGGAGTCCAAGTTTCCTACCTGCTTGCCTTTTATACCGTCTGTCAAAATGGCAATCTGCCAAGTGACAGGCTGCCCTGGACCTTAGTTCCTCCCAAACAGATTTTTATGAGTCTGTGCTTTAGCAATGCATCTTGCTTTCCTCAAATTCTTCTTTTACTTCTGGTCTTGAAAACAATCATTCATCTAACACTCTTCACTCCATATAATCAAATTAAATGATTTTAAATTAGAGAAACCTGACATCACAAGTAGGGGTAGATTATACACCTAGAAGATTTCCTACTGTATTCTCCACAGTCCTGTTTTGTTTGCTTGCTTGCTTTATTTTTAAGGAGCACTTACTAACAGACCCTGAACAAGGATGGTTGAGGGAAAATGTGTTATTTAATGCTTTTTTTTGCACACCAACATACATTATTTTATAACTTCAAATATTTATGCCAGTTCTTATGTGGGTAACTTTTCTTCTGATTCTTGATTAAAAATGTAGGATTCACAGATATCATATGTGCTTAAATTCATGATGAGTCTCTTCTTATTTCACACAGTATGAATGTGAATTATTAAAGCACCACCATCTCCCCACTGACAATAAGATGGCAGGAATGTAAACACCTCATGAGAGTCAAAATATCATTTAACTCTTCCCCATCTCCAGGAATCTATAATCGCTAAGCTTTCCAACTTATGTATCTCTCTGGAAGCTTCCCTGACATAATTAATATCAACATTTGTGTGTGTGT